GCAATTTCATACTTTAACCCCTATTACAAATAATTCCGGAAATGCAAAGTTTAAAAAATGTTGCTTGATTATTCTGTGTAGACCGCTAATAAATTCAATTCATTTTTAGTTCTTACTTTAGGATGCCGGTGACAAAATCAAATATGCACACTGTCGACAACATCTTGACAATACGGAAGAGAAAATCTTTAATAATTGACTTGCGTTTTGATAAAAAGCAATCAACATATAATGGAAATATGCTTACATTTAGAGTATATTGTATATTGTTGATGTATATAACCGAGTGAACATTTGGACTGATGTTGTCTTACAGTGTATATACTGATAAAATTCCCAAAATTTAATTTGCTGTTGAATGTTTTTCGTAGGCATTGTTCTTGTGGTTCAAAAGTGTTTTGGTCACCTTCTCGTAGAGAGATCGTTTGTAAATACGAGGCTGCCCGTCGCGTAACCCGTTGGGGTACACGCCGAACAACGTCTCATCGTCGAACCAGGATGTTGTTGGCTGAAAGAAAAAGAATAAGTAAGAAAGTTTATTAATACGTACCATACCGTAAACAAGGTTATTTATTTGTTGTACTGGTTAAATAGAACCGAGTCGCCAGAGAACTATACAGGTTGTCACACAATGAACATACAATTAATATTTTAACTTTTTATATTTTCGATAAGTTCATCATCATCAACCAAATACGTTTCACAGCTGAGCACGGGTCTCCGCTCAGGCGAGGGTGTAGGCAATAGTCCGCCACGCTGATGCGGGTTGGGGATTTCGCCCTTTTTCCGAGGGTTGTGAACCTTCTGCGACGTACAGGTTTCATCACGATGTTTTTCTTTGCCAAAAAGCTCGTGGTAAATTTCACACATAAATTTCGAAAAAGTCAGAGATCGGTCATTCTCGGAATAGTGTTCACTATATAATTTCCGTGGCAATTTTTATTGCTTAAATATTCAAGCATATTATCGTGTAATTATTAAATAATATTTCACGATGCAATACTCGAATATTAAGTAATAAAAATTGCCACGGAAATTAGGTAGTGATCACAAGTCAGAGAATGACCGAGATGCGAGACTGGATTCGAACCCACGGCCTCTGCTTGAGAAGCCATAGGTCAAGCCATTAGACTATCACAGCTTGCTTTCAATAGGTTACCAATTGTAAATATCTACAAGAAAATACTAATGTGCATGATAACCATACGAATTACCCGGTGTAAAACTAAGTAATAACCTGTACCAGAGCACCAAAATCAGAGCCACTAACCGCAAGCAACACCCAACACAATGCAATCCACCTTTTTGTTTTATAGTTTGTACTTATACCTACAATGTTAATTCATTGTTGCCATAACATCGATACTGAAAGAAATATTTAATAAATATGCATTATTACAATATCGAGACACTTCTACGAAACTGTCGGCGTCATCGGCAATCAGTGATGCGTAATTGTCCGAAAAAAATGTGAAACGGTCTAAATAAATATTAAAGAAAAAAAAATTAAAAATCGGTCCACAATTGATGGAGACATCGGAAAACATACATACAGCCGAACGTCTAAACTCCTTTTTTTTAAATCGGTTAAAAATATAAAGTATGTTGTCTGAATTGGAGTTGTATTATTATTATACATTTTTGGAAACCTTTTTCAATGAAAAACAAAAATGCAAGAAGTTCTATGCGTATTGCGTTTTTTTTAAATTATATTTGTCTATACGGCTATATTTCCATGACGCAACTCCATTGACACCTTTCTTATTGTAACTACCCAAACATTTCTGTCTGTCTCTCCTGTCCTAACCAAATGATCCAATTAACGCAAGATATTATCATTGCGTCTCTCGTGCAGCCATATGTCAACTGGGTTCTATAGTTAAACACTGCTCTGTACTTCCGAGTAAATAAATATAAAATTACCAAGACTCACTTTCGTGCTATTGTATTTTTTTTATTAAATATAGTGCATTATTATTATTACACTGAATCTCTTCTTTTTGTTTTACATTTTTGTTTCACTTATGTCCGCAAATGAGTGTGTACCTAATGCAATATGTCTTAAAGATCTATGCAATTATTTTATGTCGTGTAGCTATTATTACTATTATTATTTTATTTTATTTTTTTTAAATTATTGTTACATACGTTTTTCAATAAATGCGAGAAAATCATAGAAACTTGTTAACAAATATAAGTTTCTAAAAAGTGGGAAAACACACTACTGCATTTGACATTGTGCATTAGACCTTGTTATAACAAAATAACAAAAACATACACACGCACTGTGCTGAAAACGTGGACGGAAGACCTCGCCGCATAACATTTTTCTTTAATCACTTGGATGTTGTATGCAACAGCCAAATATTTAAAGTTTAACGTAGCAGTAAAAACATAAAAACTTAATTTTTGCACAGACTTCCCGGGCTAGGCCCTAGATAAGTAATTTGTTTTCAATTTTGGAGTGTGGTAAAAATCAAGCTTGCGTATACTTTGTTCAAAAGAAGAATGGCTAAATAGACGCCTCAGCCTGTCCCGAAAGACGATACATTTACTACCCTATTTTATTGTAGTCCCGCTACTTAACACACGTGTTACTAACTTTATAAACAATGTTATGATACAAGTTCATACACACTCTGTTTCCAAACAAATGAGTAATGAGTACTTTCATATGAACATAATTAAGAGCAATAAAATTCAAATCACACACCACACAAGGTAAACATATACAAGGTTTTCACGCTTGTGACATATAAAATTGTTAACCCAGACTAGACCAGTGCTGCCGAAGAAATAAACCGACGAAAAATCGGCGTAGCGAAAATTTGTTATATTTTAATAAAGTATAAGCATCTTTTTTAATTATTGACTATATTTCAACACAAAGTAAGTCTTAAAATTGAAAGAGTTAGTTACGGAAAGCAGTATACAAGTATGTTTAGTTTTTATCTACTGATTATTTTCTCAATCTTTATTGGAACTAATAGAAAATTAATGAAGAAATTTCATTAAAGCCCGTATTGTAATTGTACAAACAAAATCTTGAAAAACATATAATTTTAGACTTACCGTACGAATGTATTAAAAAACCTTTCTTACCGGATCTTCCACAGATTCAAATAAAATATTTGATTGTACTAAAAATATTAGAAGCATTCTTATTAAGTTACAACTTAGTTACTTTGTACTTTGACTTTTATAATTTCCCCTGTGCTTGTTCAAAAAGCCTTAACATTTGAAGAGCATTATCATTTATCAATGACGTCATTCAAGTTCGATTGACGTCATTTCGCTTCCGTCTCCCTATGTTCACTCACACATATCTAGACTCAGTTAGTCTGATTTTTACTTTTGCATGGCTTCTTCAATTAAGAGATATAATGACATTTTAAAACCTGTTCTAAGGAAGGAAGGAGCAACTGATAGTAACCGGACATTCGTTTGTACAAATACCGATCGAACGTTCGTTAAGTCCTTTCTATCAGAAGACGATATTCACTCTGATATGGGTACTCAAATCTCCTTAATATTCCAGATAACTTCTTACGAAGGTGTGGAAGAGTATAACAGCCATCCCTGCATTATAGAACTGTGCAGATGCTTGTAAGATAAAACTTAGTTTTATTTGATATGTTCCAGAAAAACGTAAATGATCATAAAAATCGAGCCTGTGATCCATTTTCCCCGATCACGAATAGACTGTACTGGCTAGAGTACAATATACCTAAAGATACTTAGCAAGAGGACATTCATCATCATCAGCTTTAGTTCTCTCTAAGGCTCGGTGCCCGCTGACGAGACGGCACGGCAGATAATTTTTAGGTGACGAATAGTAATATCCATTAATGTTGTGACATTGTAGTTGAAATTTCAATTATAATGGTGATAGCTACTCGTACAAAAACAAAATTAAGGTAATTTTAAATTTTTATTGAATTGATATTCAATTTTCTTTTTGTGAAATTTTGTAATAATTATTAATACAAAAATCAAAAACTCAGAAAAAACTCCTTCGATCCGGCCGGATTCGGACCGACATCTTCTAACTTACCGTGCCAGGCGCTATAACAACTAAGCCACGGAACGAACCAGCGGACCTGGGTCCGCGTTCGTGTTCGGTCTTTGTATTAATAATTAAAACTGAGGTAAGTTTGGGGATAACGAGCCGGCAGCCTTCGGGATGTTACGGCAGACTTCCGATGGTTATTCAACCAAAATCTTCCCTTACTGAAAAATACTGTACAGTTCTCTTTTACTTCAGCAAGACTACTAGATATTTTTTAAATATACAACTAGTAATAAACCAGCTTGCAGCGTTACAATTGATCTGAAGAGAGACTATGTCGTGAGCACTAAGTCGCGACTCTATGCTTCGGCATGTTTAAGGATACTGCGGCATATTAGCCGTCAGTGTGAGCTTGCATGTGAGACCTTATCATCGCCTTTCTCCGGTTCCTGGCCACTAGTATTTAATTTTAAATTTTGAATTGTTCCATTCTTTGCCTCACATTCCGATTTTATTTCGTTCCATCGTCACTCCCTGCTCGATCACGGCAGCGGACGGAGCTGTTTAAATTCAATCGCGTCTAATTTTGATTCTTTTACTAAGTTACAATCATTATAATATAATCTAAATCATGTATCAATCTTACCTATGAATACGCATCTGTAATTCAGTATAACTCGGCCCTTTTTAGGAGTAAGTATTTACTTAAATAACTCTGTATATCCATCAAGTTAGGAAGTGTTTTATATTAATGTACCTGTTTTTCTACATATACCTTTTTATTGTTACAGCCTTACTCTTTACTCCTTACGCCTTACTTCTTTGTTACCCTTTCTTCTTAACCCAAATTTTAATAAATTTGTGGACCGGAAGTTTTCTATTTACTGCCGTGAACCTGGTCACGGCTTGTTAGGGTTACAACCCTTTCACATGTAGATTCCTACATGTCGAAAAAGATCTCTTTTCATGCCGTCCCATCAATGGGCGACGAGTCATCTAGACCATAACGTCGCACTACCTGACCAAAAGGCGACCCATACTATGCTTACCAAGACGCGATCTCCAGTCCAACTTTAAAGCTATGTCCTTTACTTCGGTTCCCATAAGGATCCTTTCGTGCCAAACCTTGTTCACAGGAGAACCTTTGAGAATGGTACTTTGCCTGGCACGCATATGCTTCTTTGGTCTGTAGACTTGTCGCCCGTCGTTCTTTGGCGTTGTAGGAAGGACACAATGGTTGAAAATTTTCGTTTTTTGGCGTCGAGGTACGGTCGACAAAAAGGCAGAACGCAGCTTTCTAGACTCTACCCAGGAAAGGTGGGCCTTCCAATGGGCTTTTCTCTTGAAGTTGTATCTACACAGCTGCAAAAATGCCTTACATACTATAATTCTCTTCTCAGTGAAATTCGAAAATCTAAGTGAGTATTTTTGCAAGCGTCTCTGACCTTGCAAAAATAAGACCTTCCATGGCCATGCAAAAAAAATGTAACCGATTGAGTAACTTAAGGAATATACTTTTTGTTGTTTATGACATTAAGTGACCAGGAGAAAGTGGTTCTTCAGATCGCAAATGGCTTTAAGTCCCATATGCCAGTATCTTCACCGGTACCATTACCCTTCAAACCCGGAATACTGCCTCATTATCACAACTAACGTAATCGATTCGAATTATTGAAGTTGAGTCATTAAGAGTCGATACTACCTCAGCTTGAATAGAAAAGATTGCGCTGGTCGAGTGACAGGGACACTGGCTTTATTTCAGAATGTATTTTTTTACAAACGAAATTAAACCCTATAAAGGACCCGAAACGTCGGTTTGTTTGAAAAAACAAATATACGCGATTTAAATCCGGAAAAATAGTTTCATTTCCTATGTGTAACAATCGCGAAAACCTAAGAACTCGAAATTAAAACCTTTTGAAAAATGTATATCTTATACTATTGGTTTTCTATTTAGTTCAGTTGATATAAAAAAAAATCATTGGTATATGTAAAATACCTACTGAATACAGCGGTTTTCTTGTAAAATTTCGAGTTTTCTTTTCTATCGTGAAAATTTTTAAGAAAAGTGTTTTCACACCACATAGTAATCTGTGTACGTATATCCTCAATTTTACTGCTTATATATTTTTTCTAAAGTGATCGATTCAACACTTTCAGCGCGCATTTATTCGACACGAATTTCATCGCCGAGACCGCGATGCCGCCACGCAGCGACCGCGTACATCTAACTGTGTCTTGGCAAAGTACGCTCTGTTTATTTAGCTTTTACGTTTTAACTTAAATGAGCGTTCCGCGCAGGCGATTCAAGCATGTCTTGCACGCGGCGACCGCGCGGTTGTATTATTCAGAGGAATTTATATGTTGTTGCCTAGTAAATAGAATTCAGATTCGCCATTAATGTTTGTGAAAACTGGGTGGTCGCCGGGCGGCCGCGTCAAAACTTTCGCGGTTTTTTACCGGGCGCTCATTGTTATGCGGAATCAACGCCAAAAAGCCATTTGAAGAAATATCGACTCTTAACATGTCTGGAATCAGCGAAACGAGATCGACAACCAACAACAAAATTAGCGTAATTGATATTTTTCGAAGAAATAACTTTAGGTGCCAATATCTCGAAAATTACCAAAACGCAAATTAGTTCAGACAAAGACGGCAGAGTCATGCACATATTATTATTATTGCTTGGTGGCACAAAGAGTACATTTGCGGTATTCGGAAATTGAACAAAATGAACCTTTTAATACGGATAAAGAGTAAGTTACTGGCTTATTACTGACTCGACACTGGCAAATTGTCCACTCACTGTCATAGTAAAAGGCAAGTAGGTAACCTCCACGTTAAGGTAAAACTGTGATGACAACTGGATTCAAGGTCCCTAACTATTAATAAAAATGATTGTACACCTACGTAGTCACAATGAAACTGTACTTACATAAAACTGGAAACAAACGGTGTTTGTGTCTGTTACTTGTTCCATTGATTGCGAGTAATGTAACTAATTTACTCAAGCTATAATAATATAATTAACTAAACACTAAAGAATAACATCGCAGATTTTTGCGCCCTTATCATTTGGAAGTATCTTATCTTAGAAAATAGCTCAATTCCGCCTGCATGCATTATTCCCCTAAAGTTTAACCAAGGTTTTGGTCCCGTTAATGATAAGCCGTCCTTCTCTACGTCATTAGTCTGAGAATGACTCGTCACTGGAAGCTTTTCTTCCCCATCAATTGTCCTTGCCGCTAGATAGGATATCGATTATCAGTTACCATAAGTCATAGGTACTCACCTCGAGTTTAAAATCAACTATGAGTGCAGACATCTGATATGGAGGAACGGTGATTACTCGAGAGATGGGAAAGTAACCGGGGAAGCTGGCTGTCACCTCGTAGTGTCCCGGGGTCAGCAATCGGTAGTAATCGCCGAATGGGCCTGCGTATATTATTATTCATTGAAATTCACGACATAACACTCACTATGGTATCAAAAATTCTATCCGAATGATTTATTATGTACCACATCTAACATCTAAAATGTTCATCTTCTTAATCGAAAATCGAAATCTTAATCTATACCTAATTACAACGTTCAAAATATTTATGCACGAGTAGTACTAGAGTACCTACAGTCGACGCCTTATGATGCCTGACCCTCTAACAGACCATTTGGTTTTGGATAGATAGTGTGAAGGAAAGTTTTAAACAAACTTAACCTCTAAGCACTGAGCCGTAAAATTCATTTTGGTATGTCTTACTTATAGCATTATTAGAGAATGATGTTTTAACAAACTTTTAAACCAATTAGATCTTTAACGTATTGACGAATACTTAATTACTTAATACGTTAAAAGGCGCACAGGACTAATAATAATGAATACATTAAAAGACTCAAAGGACAAACAGGTCGGTTGTGTTGAATAGAAGCAACCGGCAACTAGAAGCGCAAATTTTATATTCATACAATTTAATATGAAATCGACACTGCCGCCGCCGCCGGTTGCGGCAAGAGCAATTGTATGAAAATAAAATATTCACTTCTAGTTGCCGGTTGCTTGTATCCAACACAAGACATACGGTTTCACGGCGCCTTAGACATAGGCTTAGGCACCTTAGGGCAGCGACAATACTATCTGTAGTTCTACAGTAAAGCATTATTTCTCTACTAAGCATAATCGTTATAAACAAAGTTTTTAATGAAAATATGGCTAGTAATCGATTATTTACGAAATAATTGATTGATAAGTTTTAATATAGACAAAAAATTACATACAAGTTTAAGCTTCCTTATTACTGGACCTCAAATACAAGTTTATTAAATAAACTACGCAGTAAATAAGGTATGTTATTGACTGTGATAGGAATTAATGCGCCAAAATTAATGCTAGATTGTCGTCATGGACCAATGTTTCGCATGACTTCCTTTATTTTTTTCCATCCTCTAAGCGCATGACGACTGTGAACTGGCAACCGGTACTATCTCAATTTTGATAATTTTACACGATGGAGAAAAAAATTGTTGGCGTCTTTTATACAGCATCTGATTTATTAAATAAAAATGCGTAGTGTATGTGTAATAAAAATATTTAAGAGGGAGCATGCCAAAAAAGTTTTGACGTTGGCTCTGCCCAATTTTGTGACACAAATATATGCCTGAAGTTCGCGTGACATGCGACAGGAGATGTTGAATTTTGCGCATTAAAAGTACCAAATTCGTTTTAGCGGAATAACTCTAAAACTAAAGGAATTTAAAAAAATAATGACAGTTGTCGATCATGAATAAATTTAATTAATTATATAATTTTTGTCCTAATAACCTGTAACATTTCGAGGAAAATGCTATGCTTGAATATATCGTGTAGTTACTCATACAATATTTTATTTTTAAATTTAAAGTGGATATACCCCTCTAAAATCAAATCGAAGATTAGGAATTTTTCCTCTGCTCCCTCTTAAAGACTACGTATTTTTATTTAATAAATCAGATGCTACATATATAAATGACGCAAACAATCGTTTTCTTCATGGTGTAAAGTTGTCAAAATAGAGATATAACATAAGTAGAAATGTGACAGATTAGACATAATTAACGGACTCTTTGTAGACAGACAATTAAGTCCGATCTTATTAAATTAAACTGCCCAGCAACAGGAAGTGCTACTATTTCCGTCTATTCAGTGAGTGTACAGAAAGAAACTAAGATTAACTCCGCCAGTGAACAATAGCGGTGTGTTTACAATTTTGCAATCGATTGTTACGCTGTTTCAAGATTACGTATGATTTATTTATTACGTATGAATTAAATAATAGAAATACAAAATTATTTTGACATTGTAGCAAATCGCAGCAGTCGCTACAAATCTCTTTTATATATATTTCATAGTTTGTTTTTATATTTAAATTCTAAATTTGAATGTGGTTGATTTAGGCATTGACCTATTGGTAGGTCAATGGGTTTAGGCGCCTTTTTTTTACTTTTGTTTGCTGTTTTGGCTTTGATAGCTACGTGTTGTCTAATAAATTAATAAGTTGTAAGTACGTTTGCTTTGATGTTGCTCACTCGTTGTTAGCATCCACCCTTTAACCCATTGATACAGTCCGCGACAAACATGTCTTTTCGATATATAATAAGAAATTATATGCACTTCAGTGCGATCGACCCTTTCACTGCTAGCAAGGAAGGTTTCTTAAAAAACTCTATAGATCAAACTGATACGTAACATTATCCTTGAATATCTTTATACTTTACATAGTCTGCACATATTTTGTATATGTTTTACATATAAACATGTATATATGTATATGTGGAGGTAAATATATATTTTAATTATTAATACAAAGATCGAGCACTTGGAAAAAATCCTTCGATCCGGCTGGATTCGAACCAAAGTGTTCTAGCAAACTGTACCACAGGCTATGCCTACTAAGCCAACGGAACGAACCAGCGGACCTTACGAATTTTTCAACGTGCTTGAAGCAGATCTTTGTTTTTTGTTTATAAACGTCTTTTTGCTGTAGCGTCATCTGTGAGAAATTTATTTCTTCACTCAGTCAGACTTACTGCTACCAGCAGCTGACTGGAGATGTCGCTTAATAATTGTAATTATTTTTAAATAAGTTATCATTAACTTAATAATAAAATTTAAATTCCTCTAAGCCATTTTGGCCTAAGTTACTTAAAATAAATATTGTTCCTCGTAAATTGTATTTAAGTTGACTGTTATAACTCCTTTATAATAAAAAATAATAATTTATATAATAAAATAATAGACTTGACTTCTGCTTGTTTTATTAATAAACCTATTGAGTCCGTAACAGTTTAATTTCTTCATAGATCTTGTTCTTATTCATCGAGATCGATACCTCACTAGCAAGTTGTTGTAAGCTACAAAAATAGCATTTTTTACTTTTTTACTTACATATTGTTTACTTTTTTTATGTGTATTATAGGTTCCATGTTTAAAATATTTATTTAGTGGTTTGTTTACTTTTGACAGAACATATATATGCATATAAAAGTTATAAAAAAATACTATTTTGTGGCTTACAAGAACTTACTTGGGAGGTATAGTAATTATCTATTGTTATTTACTTATTCAATAAATAACCTAAATTTATACTATATAGATTCAATGAGCAAGGGAGTTAGCGTCTGCTTTTAACCTCACGTGCATTTCAACGCACCACACGTGCAGTATCATACAAATTGATCAAAATAGTATCGTAATCATTCCGGGGCGACCTGTCCTCATTGACACGTCTTAAGAAAAGTTGATAAACCGGACAAATATCACAATTAATATTCGCGTGAAATAACATATTTGGTCTTTACTAACCTGTGGTGATATCGTGACGTATAGGCCTCGGTATCGATCCAGTGATATTTACGACAGATATGATAGCATTCTGTATAAACCCGGAATCGTCGCTGACGATGCCTTTCACTCCAATATGAGCCTTAAACATGTAAGCCAATAAGGCTTCCTTGTTTCGCTCCCATTCTCTGCTTAGAGAACTAGCTGGAGGAAACTTAAGGCATCCTAATTCAAGAGTAATCTCAAACGCATTTGTAGCTAAGTAGTTGAAATCTTGCATGCCTGAAACAACATTGTTTTCTTACATCATATTAACAAGGACAACATGACTTAAACGTTTGACTGGAAACCATAACTGAATAATAACGACGTAAAACACAATATCGCACATTACCGTCTTGTAATTTTAATGCTAATCGGAGTACTCACAAAAAGGAGCCAAAATAAAAAGTCGATTAGCATTACAAAATAAACCAGTCAACTTCATGGTTAACAAGGAACTTGTAAATGTCACAATACAATATGAGACAATCATTACTCTTCACAGAGAACCAGGAAGCTGCTCTCAATAAGTACCTATGTAAAAGGTCAGGGGAAACGCCCAAGGAAAAGGTGTCTACTGTAAATTTCATTTATTATAATGAGCCAGACCATCACACGATTCGCCTGGTCTCTAACTAGGGAAGTCCTACCATTCAATTCCCTCTGGGGCACTTCTCAGAACACCCAGACCAGAACCAATTTTTATATTATACCAAGTGACGGGACGAACAAATCGTGCGCCTGGTGGTCTACAACTCGTCTGTCCATAACAGTTGCAGTGTTACTCAGAGCTTTAATTCGCTAAGATCTGAGGGGCACTGCCACTGCGGCCGTTACTCTGAGACATAAGCTAACAAGCCCCGTGTGCCTGTATTTTCACCCTCTCACCCTTACCCTTCAAAACCGGAGCGCAGTAATGCTCACATTACTGCTTAGCGGCAGAAATAGGCAATATGGCAATAATACCTAGGACGAAATCTTTCACAAAGAGCTCTATACTGTTACTGAATTTAGAAAAGTTCATTTCCCAAATTGGTCCAACCGGGAATCGAACCCGCGATCTCCTCATTTATCGCCCCCAATATAGGCCGTTGGGCCACCGAGGTCCTCGGATTCTATCTATAGAAATATTAATTTTAGCCACCTGTTTGGTCTTGCTAATTAGTTTACACAATTAATAAGTAACAAAGGTGTCACTAAGAAGTAGGTTATTATACAGTAATGTATAATGTTATGTCCTACAGCAGATTTAACAATAATATTTATAAAAATATTTGACGTTTCAAATAGATGGAAGTTGAACAATAGTCAAACAATATTTGTAACAGTTTGAAAGTGAATCATTTAGGGATAAACCACACTTATCGACGCGGAATCGGCTTGAGTCGATCATGTATTTCTGGCGCAAAGCAATAATGTCAGCATTACTGTGTTCTGGTTTTGAAGGGTAAGGGTGCTGGTGAAATTACAGGCACTTGGGATTTGTGAACTTATTTCTCAGGATGACGGCGCAGTGGCAGTGCGTCTTGCAATTTAAAGAGCTGAATTGCACTGCAACTGTTATGGACAGGCGTGTTGCTTACCATAAGGCGCATGACTTGTTTGTCTCGTCACTTGATATTATAAAAAAAAATTTAACCACGCTTGTCGCATTAAGCCGATTCGCCGCCGACGCAGACGTAAGGGCGCCGACTCGCCAATTGTTTCTAAACTAGCATCAGCCGTCGTCGGCACGCATGTGCCGAACCGCGTTCGTACGAACTGATGCTAAAGGCATAATGTCATTATCGCTCTGAATGAAGATAATACCGACTTCACGAATTAACAGATCGACTGCAGGCAGTTAATGTGTGCAGTCGTTATCAACTTCTTGCGGTCGACGTCTCGGCTCCATGAAGTTGATTACGACTTCACGCATTAACTGCAAACATGCAGTCAATCTGTTAGAGGCCATATAGAGTACCAAAATGACGAAATTAACTCCAAGGCACCCAGAACACCCAAATCAAAACCAATACGAATGCTAGTCGGTATTGCTTATAATTTTGTCACACTTTTTTGCACCGCTTTCATGAGCTTGCTCCCTTATATTAGTGTAATGCTATAGGTGAGAGGTAAAGAACTTCAATTCCATATTTTGGAATTTAGATGTTTTTATAGACACTGCTAAAAATCTTGAAATGGCAAAATGTATTTATTTGACCTTACAATTGATTTAAAATGCCTTTCATCATTTCATTTCATTGTTTTTAACACGTTCTGTAGTAAAAATTACTATATGGCACTTAACTTCCTTTACCTCTTACATCGTCTTTTACAAATTTGAATCAGCTAATTTTTCTACCTTAAAGGTTACAATTTTTACAAATGTAACAGTTTTAACCTAAATACAAAATTACTAACCTCCTTTCAAGCTATACCATGCGGCGCCGTTGGTCACACCACCCTGCTTTCCAAAGTTGTAACTATCGGAATCGGTATCGCCATCTATGTCGCACCCTTTCCTTTTTGTCGACGCCATGTCCTCGTGAGCCATTGCATACGTCAGTGCCAATTCCCTTTGAAACAAAATTAGTTTCTATTAATTTTTCTCCTGCTAAATCGCAAAGAAACAATGCACCGTAACGTTGTACAGTCAGATACAGAAATTTTAATCAAATAAATATCTCCGTAATTGTTTGTTGAATCTTTTAATATTTTCCCTATTACTCATTTTCCGATATGAACTATGTGCAACAATGTTTTGTTATATAAGTACATATATATAAACAAATATTGTTTAATAAGCAATAGTAAGTGGATGACAAATACTGTAGTGATTATTGAAAATGAATTTAATTTTTTAACCGAATTCGAAAAAGGAGGAGGACCAATTGAGAAATTGGTCTATATTTTTTTATAATAATAATTATGAGCGATATTAATAACGAATAGATCAAAACGATTTAATTAATTAACAAATTAATTCCTAATTAGGTACATAGGTTTTGTTTCATTTAAACTAGCAGCTTTTTAACATGAAACACTTTTTAACCACACACTTTAATTTCAAATTTTTGCAATAATATTGTACTTATGTATACATTGGTAATATGTCGTTTGAAAACAACAATAGTGTATTTTAAAAATTCTATTTTTGTGCCATTGGCATTGGGCCGTTTTTTCGAAAATTTGGCTGGATATACGGTTACGGTCAATGGATTACGCTATCGAGAGATGTTAACAACTCAATTTTGGCCTATTATTGATAATATGGATCTGTGGTTGTGGACATGTGGTTTCAACAAGACTGTGCCACAAGTCACACAGCCACCGAAACAAATAATTTATTGCAAACCAAATTTCCCGATCGCATAATTTCACGAAATTCATCATGTGATTTAACATCGCTGGATTATTTTTTATGAGGTTATGTTAAAGACAGAGTCTATACCACCATTTTGTAAAAAAGTGATTAAAAACTTTGATGAAATAATCGACATCCGTAATTGTGGTCGTGGTGGACATTTATCACGTATAATTTTTCATTCATAATTGCCAAACCTTACTTTTTTTAATGCAATACAAATTTGAATCATTGTCATCTAAATTTATTGTTTTATTTTTATTTACAAAACAAAGTTCTTGTTGAAAAACCATTTAGTTTAAGCGTTTGTGGGATTATAAGAGATAATACGGAAACGTAGTGGCAAGATGATTAGGCATCTAATAATATAATCAATCTTTAGAAGCATTATATGTTGAAAGACCGAAGCAACGAGAGGCAGGGGAAGACCTAGACGAAGTTACTTATATCATTATAAAGGAGACAGTGTCGAATCAGGAACTCAAAGTGAGGGCACTGAACGGCGACGGTAGGCGATTACCACGCCGCCAAGAGCTCTTAGATAAAAAGAAGAGGGACCTCTTTACAGTGGGTATATAACAACAGATTCAATGTTCTGACCTTTTCAAAACCAGCTGGTTTAAGCACTTAATAAATATTTAAAGAGAGTTTGAATCCATTCTCCCCAATAAAATTCATAAAGTTTATTCGTGTTGTCAAGATTCGAAGACGTACTTGCATACAGAAATATGAAGTTAGTTGTCGTTGTCACTTTCGTCTACCGTTGCATATATTGGCCATATTATTTATATGCAAGGTATCCGAAATACACAAAAGCTGTGCAAATAAAACGCCTAACGCAATTGCAATCCTCAAACTAATAATTATTCATGCACTACCTGTGAGACAAAGCTGTAAATGAAAAGGTGAAACGGCTTTGCGTATACCCATATACGCATATGTGTATATGGGCTGATAGATATGTTGTCGTATTGTGAGTCCTTATAGATCAATTTATAGATATACATGGTGACAGGTTGAACGAGATAAATATTTAAAAAGGCAAACGAGTAGCTGATATCTAATCCGAATACGTAGAATCGCCCTAAAAGTAAGAAAAAGAATGTCGTGCCATTTTACAAATACTAACTCCAACACTCTTCATTTGGGTTACTCTATGAAACAGAATAGTTGAGTAGTAAGAAATTTAACTCCCTCGTGTCAAGCCTTCCTACTTAAAGAGTACCTACTATTAAAAATAATTCAAATTTCCCTTCATACCTTTCTTAGGACAGACAAAATTGAATCCTAACATCAATGTGTAGGATGAAGCACGCTGACTAAGGAGCGTTTCTCGATAAAGGACCTTATAACTCCACTGAAATACACAGGCTACACGGGTGAATACACCGATATACCAGGCAAAACAAATATGCGACGACTTTACGTCCCGTCTAACACAAAAGCGCAAGCGAACTAGCCGGGCGGTAGCGGATGCCCGGCGTTTCGACGAGCGGGGCGGGCGAGGGTGCGAAACCCGTGGGTAGAGGTGGGCGTTTAAATGAAAAGCACTTTAAAAAGTCTGCTTTTTAAAATAAGCGCGTAAGCGCGGTTTTCATTTTAAGCATAAGCGTTGGTTACTGGTCAGGTCTATAGGTACTCAACAATGTGCCTAAGTTTCAAGTAGCGCCATCTATGTTTTCTAAACAAATTAATTCAATTTATGCTTGCAAGGTTATTGCAAGCTTTTTTAAACATAAAGTCTATGCGTTAAGCGAAAAACGTTTAATTTTCTAAACGACTTTTTAAGCGTCAAACTAAAAACGTTTACGTGAAAAGCGCTTTTACAGGCACGATTTTTAATCATACTTTTAACGTTAAAAAAATAAGCAGTTTTTTCCATTTCAACGGTTAATAACTACAAAAGTTAAACAACTCATGTTTTTGAACGCTTTTAAACGCCAATGAACAAAATGTTAATATAATAATGTTATGCCATAAATAAAAATATAACTCGTTTTTTTACAAAAAAACTTACTTATCTTAAAACCTTTAGTTGTCTACTCTTGCGTGTCATTATCAACACAACGTTGCAAGCTTTTTTTAATATAAAAGTCTATGCGCTTAAAAGTTTTCTAAACGATTTTGTTAGCTTCAAACTATAAAGCGATGTGATAAAGCGTTTAAAAAAGAACGCTTTTTAAAAAAAACATTACGTTTAAACGTTTAAAAAAATAAGCAGTTTTTCTCATCTCTGCCCGTGGGAAAGCGTGCGCAGAGGCTGGTAAGGCGCAGACTATTACAAAATGTTAAAGGTAGTATTTTCCTTCGAGAAAAATATTTAAAAGTAAGGTAGTGTTTTTTTACATATTCGATATGAATATCAGCTACTCATTCGCCTCTTTAGATATTTATTTCGTTCAACCTGTCACCCTGTCTAAACAGTTTTGTTCCTTTTGTTCGTTTGTATTTCCTAATCTTGACGTAAAATCGTGATTTAGAAAACAAACAAGCATATAATATGGTCAATTTACATGTACATTTTACAAAACATACATTACATTTTGTAAAGTGTATATTTAAATGACCATATTGTATACATATGTTTTAAACAAGCCTTTGCACGCGGAAAACGATTTATCAATTTTTGCTAACACGTAAGATATCTAAAATACATTAGGCTAACATAATGGACTACATCGTCCGTGTCTTCAACAAAACTGCTGTACCTACCTGTAATTTTAATTCTAAACAATTTTCTCCACAAATGTGTACTTTACTGAATAATAATAGTTAGTCTATAAATAGTCCCACTGTGATGCACAGGCCTCCTCTCAATGATAGGGTTTGTGAATTAGAAACTTCACACACATCACTCAATTGGTTTGCAGATGTGTGCAGGTAAATTTCAAATTAAATTTCGCACCCAAACTCCGAAAACCTCTGAGATACGAGCCCGGATTAGTCCGCTTGAAAGGCGATGTAGATAAATTTATGCGGTATAATAAAGAAAATTTCTCACCTGAAGGTTTCATCGTCAGGACTAGCAGAGTATTCAGACGTTGGGGCTCCACTCCTGCTTTCATCGTAGGGGTAGTTGGCAACTAAATCTCCTCCGTGCAAAGCAGCACTTAATACAAATGGTATGGACATGATCCATCTCATTACCGCTCGAGTCTCGGGCTCCAACTGCCCCAAAAACAACATCATTTTATTAAATACAAGCACACAGGGACACGCTCAAAATAATGGAAAAACTGCCACCTGTTCATGTTTATACCCTGCATTTGAACGACAGAAAGTTTCATTTTCAAACCAGACTTTTTTACAGAACTAGGCTACAGTTTGATGTACGAGCGTTCAAACCCATAACTGAAAGTATTAATTAAAATAAAAAAGCAAGAAAAACACAAAATTACACAAATAGTAAAACAGACTTTTAAAACATCTGTGGAACTATGTCCAATAAATAAGAAAGTCATTTCAATACCCCCGCAATAGAGAAAATTACATACCGTTTTCTGACAATCCTGAAAGTAAGAAAACCTTGCCAAAAAATTGCAAACCAAATTTTTTATTTTATTAGCAGTAGAGTTCCTTGTGATATTATTCGTCCAGGGAAGTACTGCCACCTTACCTATTTCTGCCGTCAAGCAACAATGTGAACATTATTGCGTTCCAATGTTTAAGGGTGCTGGTGAAATTACAGGCATATGGAAATTATCTACTTATGTCTCAGGGCGACGGACGCAGCTACAGTACCCCTCAGATCTATACGATTTATTGCACTGCAACTGTCGTAGATAGACATGTCGATTAACACCAGACGCACGATAGTGCAAACAAGCACGACTATCATAACGAAAAAATAAGTAAAGTAACAAAAAAAATATTTCTTACCGGTGCTGTGAGACGACTTAAGTCCTGCAATAGATGGTTGTTGTGGCTAATGCCTTGTCGCTCCAACTCGAATGTTATTGCATCCAGATCGGGGAAATTTCTGTTCAGATCCACTGAATGATTGTTGGCACGGCCAATCAGGTAATCTCGACCACCCTTCAAGCGACCACGGAAATGTTTAAGTACAAATCAAGACAGCACACCGTTACCTTATACATATTTCTAAAATTTTAATAGACGTAAGTATTATTTTATAAGTCCTTAAATAAAGCATTTGGTATATATATAAACAAAGAAAGAAAGAATAATAAATGTTAAATTAGTCATGAATTATCGAGTTCTTAGGTTTTTGCCACTGTTACATACAGGGAATTTAAAAAATGTTTGGGATGTAAATTGCGAATATATTTGTTTTCATTTCTAATCGAGAATATTCCTTTTTAACACTAAAAAGTGTTAAAAACCTTCTTAAAGCTTTAATAAAATTATAGATTGTGCTTTATTTAGGAAACAAACACAAATACTTCCTTGTATCTATAACAAATAATAGTTAATTATAGGTGTAATTACATACGTCTATAAACATATAATTTCGTGAAAAATACCCTTGCGTCTGAAATTATTACGACTGTGTATATATGTATTATGTGATGCTCCACATTTCCGTGGCTGATTACTTGAGTGATCAAAAAATAATAAAAATGCTTTCGAACTCATTTCATCTAAAGGTAACATAGTAATTATTGAACTTGGAAAATACAACTAAACATGAAAATTGAATCGACCTTTCCGGAGATCACTTTATCTATGATTGAAAAGGTGACTTACCACGTCATATGCGGCCTGCCATCCATCAGGGTTCATAGATGGCAATAGATGTATGCGAGTGGTATGTATCAGGGCCCGGATGCGCTTGTCGAACTGGTTGTATCGATCACATAAATAGTCTGCCAAGCCGAGGAGTAGCTCCCTGCCGAGGACTTCATTTCCGTGGATATTACCAACGTACTTTACTTCGGGTTTATCTAGTAAAGAGATTTTCTCGATTTTAGCAAGATTAAGCCATTATTCGCACGTGAAATCAAATACTGTCGTAACGCAGAAATTGTGGAATTAAGAAAACACGATTTGAAAGTTCTTAAATTACGAAATAGAACCAATAAATTTATATACTCGTTGATAAGTGGACAACTAATTATAATGTATAAATAAAAATAATCCCATCATTATTTGTATTAAGATTTATTAAATTTTTGAATTTTCAAATCGTGATTTCTCAATTTCATCATTTTTTAATTACGACAGTATTTGGTTACATGTGGGAATATGATATTGGTTCCTTGGCCGTAAGTTCTTTATTATACTTTTGTTTGTAATTAATAGATTCAGTTACTTTGCGGAAGTGCATGTTGACAAAAATGGAAGGAAGTTAATATTATTAACATAAATATTTGTTTTCTCTCGGCCGAGCGCCCACTAGCCAACAGCCACTGAGGATGCCTCGGAGAGGGGTGTAACACGCGTCGGGTATATTTTTAGTGGTGGTATCTGTATCTGAGGATGACGTGCGCTTGTGTTGAAGGTGGGAAAATTAATTGCATGAAAAAAAATTCGTATTGCCTACATTTATTTCTCTCGTGATTTTGGGTGTAATTTGTGGTTGTCTGTGTATGTGTCCATGGTACTCGCGACATAGGGTTGTCCCTAGTCCTGGCCATGATAAAAAAAATAAATAAAAAAAAGAGAAATAAAATATATTCTAGACAAGCGTAGCTATTTTGCACGACTTAACCTCCACTGAGTACGCTGAGTAGCAAATTAACTTACTTCCATTTTTACTTTTGTTTGTGCTGGTAAAAGACTAGCTGGTAGAAGGCATTATTTTTATTTCAATTATTCGTTATAGAAATGAAATTATCGATTATCATGCGAGACAACTGTAAAACAAAAATCAATTTCAACTAAAAATTATTTGTCTGTGTCGTTTAAAAGTGATATTTGATTTCCTGAAATCGCACCTTCAACAGGTGCTGTGTTCTGGAATGTATCCTTCAAACTATAGCTAATCTACTACCTACCAACTTAATTATGAAGGAGAATTTCATCTTAAGTTTCACTAACTTTGCACAATATTTAACTTACAAACACAAACGCAATTTAACATTCGAGTTACAATTTATGTAGTTACATAAAGAAATCATTCATAACACAAAATTAAATAAAACTTACATGGTTGATGGAATCCAGGATTATCAGAAAACTCGATCACATAAAGGGGAACATTTAAAACAGATGGTTCCGTCAAAGCATAAACTCTTGTTATATTCGGACACTTTTCATGAATTTCTTCTAAAATTACGGGTAGCTCTTCATTATTATGATGCTTCCAAACAAATCCTGCTGATACGGAGATACAAAGCGCAAGACATATGCACCAATTTAGATCCATAGCGATATGCTCAAACTTTATTAAATATTTTAAATGTATTTTAAACAAATTATCACTCTCACTGGTACAACAACATCCACAACACAACACGGCTGCACGTCAAACGCAAAGTATCGATCGATTTTTCCCGCGAATGTAATGAGGGGCAAGGGGAAGCGGATGATGACGCACGTGAAAAAAGAGAGGCTATAATATGTATGTCTCTTTCGCGCAAGCGTATTTGACCTTTTGGCATTTCCAAATGGCAATGTTGGCATTACTGGGATTTTGTTCCGAATCGGCATAATGTTGGTTTTTTGAGCACAGGTGATTTAATGTTAAGAATTATTAAGTATAATAAAATTTAACAACGAGTTTTGTGCAGTTCCAATTGGTTTAATAAAACCAGTTGTGACAAAATATTTCATCTGGGCACTAAAAAGCAACAAAAAGATGTTGTACAAACAGAAAAATTCGGACCGGCTTATTTCTAAATATTTACATTTCGTTCGTCTTGATTATGGAATGTCACAGGATAAAAAAATAATGAAAATAGTGAGGGGGATTATTTTTTTATCTTTCCAGCTAAACAGTTTTGCAGTCGGGTTTTTGTTTTTTTAAATAATTTTTAGACTTGTTTTATTCTTCTCTATCATATAAGTTTATTTCTTATTATTGATTCGTAGTTTTCTCGTTTCGCAATAAGTTCGAAAATAAAAACGGTCACGGAAATACTTATACCAGCCAAATAAATGAAGAATATTCCCTGAAACAAAACCACCACTTAAACTTTTTTATTTAACTTTCTAACAGTTTTATGTATGTTTTATCACCTTGTTAAATACCGGGTCAGTATTGCCTGCCTGTTGTGTATTTACTTCTTTAATGATTTCTTTTATATTATTTTGTTAAAATAAAAGAATCCGTGACACAACAACTTTAGCTTGACTTTTCAGACAACTGTATTGTTACAACACATAATTTTTATTTGTGGCTGAAAATGTTGTCATGAGGAATTTCGTATACCAAAATATATTGTTACAAACAAAAATATGCAAACATTTTTTTATATAATACTCTGAAAAGGTATAACAGCTGAAGGTGCAGTTGCAGGCGTTATGCTATTTTTAACCGACTTCAAAAAAAGGAACAGGTTATCAACTCGGCTGTATTTTTTGTATGTATGTTACGTGATAACTAACCGATATTTTTGATTTTTTTTTGTGTTTTTTTTTGGTCCCATTTAAATGTGAAGAAAATTTTCTAGGGTATAAATCCGGTTTCGCGCACTTTCCGGTGACCGATTTCAATAAAACTTGGCAAATAGATTTAATTCCACAAACTTTTGATTTCGGTTTTTTTTAGTACTCTGTACTGAGGTTATCTGAACTATATTATAGCAGGCTAAGGAAGATCTTTATTATCATTACCACAACATGTCTGAGGCTCAACTTCACTACGTCGTGTGTGCGACCAGATCGCGACAATTTGACTTCAAGTTGCACTTTGTTGTCTAAATGATTTAATGCCACCTGAAACAAAGTCGGAAAAGGACGCTGCATTTAAAAGTGACTTCATCGCCACGACCTTCAGCATATGGCCATGTCCTTTAATAACTAATTACTTATCTTTCCAGAATACTATAATAAAAATATAAATCACCTAAAAGTACATAAAACTAACCTCCATTTTAAATTGCATAGTAACTATTATCTCGTTATGAAAAGCATGGTAACTTATACGCATTTAATTGCATATTTGAAAATGATGTTTTCAGCCTCTACGAGTACGTAAAAGAACATATTATTATAGTATAACGATAAATAATGTGTCAAATTCTCTATCGAAAATTACACTTTACGTCATTTACACAGCCATTACATTCGCCATGTAAAAAAGTGACAGTTTATACATCTTAAACTGCGGCTGAGTGTACCTGAGTCTCCCACGCAAATAAAAGTCCAGTCTCGTGCAAGCGACCTATCAAATCAGTCATTTTGTTAGTAAACGGCGAACTCTTGCGCATCATTACTACATTGTACTCATAGTAAAAATCCTCCAGCATAATCATCAGATCTGTTGCCGCTTCCTTAGTTATGTATTCACCAATTGCAAAATGTCCTGTAGAAAATACAAAAAATAAAATAGTTTTATAATCTTATTGATTGACCTTACAAAAAAGTACTCGTCTATTCCTCGGTATTCTTTTTCAGTAAACAAACTAGAAACCTTTTTTTCAGAATTGTATTAATAAATACATCGTTTCTCAGATGTTTCTACTGCAATGACTATTAACTTGCCTGCTTGTAATTTCTCAATGCTGAAAGCCATAGTTCTTAACAAACTTCGCCTCTTCAATTCTCCTTTACTGTAAATTCTAAATTGTTTTACCAATTGTTGGACTTTAGGCTGAAAATAGTTTTTTTTTTTTGTGAAATTTGTGATTGCATAAAATATCAAGTTTTTTATTATTTTGAAATGTTCCCGTCTGGGCCGGATACACAGTACATGATTTACCTCCTGGGACAATGTGAGAGAGTACACCCAAGCGTCATGTGTCGCTCCCCATTCCACTTTTCTATCAATTATATCCTGTATTGTGTCGATAGACTTCTCATACATTGGTACTGTAAATGCAGAAGACAGACCAGCACCATACGCGTTTGTAAGAATTAGCGCGGTTACTAGAATCCAGGCTGTCACGCTTCGAACCCGCCAATTCGAATCGTAATGTTGAGACTAAATGAAAAAATACACATAACATAAAGGATACCGTAAGTAAATATAGGTATTATATTATAGTCACAGTCATAGACTTTATTTATTTATTTCATTCATACAGCTATTTTTAAAGGACCATCCCAATACAATAGTGTAGCATTCCATATCGTCACAATCACTTGACTTAACATTATAACTAAAAATAAAAATTTGATTATTGAAAATTAATAACAATTAATTAAGGCCAGTTTATAATAAAGTACTATAATGAATAATATACAATGCAATTTAATTAATTGTGTACAAAGCAAAAACAGTGTTGCCTTCATAAACTCGCTCTCAAAACAGGTAAAAATATCTACTTCTTCAGCTACTCGATTTAGTGTGTGAATGGTGCGAGTAAGAGACGCTTTGTTGAGCAGATTTTTCCTGGCTCGCGTCACCACCAGCAGCCGTGGTAGTCGGCGTCGGTGCACGTACTCGTTTGGCACGCATATAGAGAGTGATTGCAGCACTCCCAGGTTTGAAACTTTACCTCGCAATACTCGCACTATGTAACTTGCGAGAGCTAAATCCGTCCTTGGTTCAAACTTGTTGTATCCAACCATACCTAATACAAATAAGGTTGGATACATCAAGGGATAGAAAGGGTATACCCCATATAGTCCCATGTACAAGTATCTGGTGAATTTATTCTGGACACGCTCGACGAAGCGAAGTATAATCTCATGCTCGAGCATGAGATTATACTTCGCTTCGTGCGTAGCCCATATGGCTGAGTTAAACTCTAACTGACACCGTATCAAAGCGTTGTACAATGTGGTTATGGCTTTGATATTTGTAAACCCATTTGCTCGGCGAATCACAAAACCCAAACTTCGATAGGCCTTCTTACATACATTTATGGTCCTTGAATGTCAATTCCGAATCCAACCGTACTCCCAGATCTTGCACCGCGTCCGTACGTTGCATGAGTGCCCCTTCTACTTCGTAGCTATACTGGTGTGGTAGTCTTGATCGATCGAATGTTATAATTTGGCATTTCGAGACATTGAATTGCAGTTTGTTATTTCGACTCCATTCGACTACTCTATCCACATCTTGCTGAAGGCGCACACAGTCCTCTCTTCCTGTGATGGCCATAAGCAACTTGAGGTCATCAGCGAAAAGTAGACATCTGGCATTTTTTACTACCCCTGGTAGATCATTAATCATAACAATGAACTCTAATGGCCCCAAATTACTCCCCTGCCTCATGCCCGGTTTCGTGAAGTACGGCTGCGATCTGCAACGTGCATATTCCACATACTGCCGCCTGTCCCTCATATAACTCGCAAAAAAGCGGAGCAATTTCGGAGTGCATCCTACCGCCGCTAACTTCGATAGCAGGATGTCATTGTCTACTAAGTCGAAAGCCTTTTTATAATCAAAATAAGCGGCGTCGACCTCCCATCCTGCATCGACCTTGGGCACCGCGTACTCCATGGTATTGAGAAGGTTGCTGGTAGTACTCCGCCCCGGCCGAAAGCCATGTTGCGCATCCGACAGTTGACTTGCCACCTGCTCCTGTAAACTCCGCTGGATGGCGGATTCGAACACCTTGGCAGTCGTTGACAGTATAGCCACTGGTCTAAAGCTATTCACATCTGTGCCCGCTCCCTCCTTGTGCACAGGTATTACGCGTAACTCTTCTGTTACGTGTAACTTTCCATCGTTCCGGGAAGTATGACGTATCCAGGCATAAATTAAATATATATGTTAGCGGTTCCTCCAGCACCCCACTACAATCACTCACCACGAACGCCGGAATTCCATCAGGGCCCGCCGATCATTTGGGCTTTAGTGGCATGAGCGCAACGCGCACTTCACATAAGGCGAGCCGCGGGAGATGCACCCGCGCGCTGCTGGCTCCGCCTGCCGCTGCCGCCGCCTCCACATCCAGTCGTGCTGAATCCCTGCTATACACTGACACGAAGTACTTCGCGAATACTTCAGCGCACTCCGTATTCGACAGAACGGTTCCCTCCTTGGTAATCGTCCTACAGTTCACCGTTCCTTTTGTCGTTCTTATGTAATCCCAAAATGCCTTAGGATCTCTCATTAGATTATGCTGTACTCGGTCTTGATGTTTTTCATGTGCCTCCTGTATTAATTGTTTAATCAATGCCCTACACCTGGAAGAATTTTCGTAATCCTTCCTGGAGCCACTGCATTTATATAGCTCGTGAAGCCGCGATTTTGATTTTAGTGCCCTAATTATCTCCGCTGAATACTCAGGGTAACGTCTGGGATTTAATCGCATTGTACTTTTTTTTTGACACAGTCATCAATTATGCTACCCATAGTGGCGTAGACGTAATTTAGATCTTCTTCTGGTTCTTGCATATTTTTTTTTTTATAATAATAACGCACACACTCAACATAGCCCCGCACTAGGGAAACCCTGTGTCGCGGGTGCCATGGACACACACATAGACAACCACAAATTACACCCAAACTCACGAGAGAAATAAATGTAGGCCATACAAATATTTCTCCCGGCCCGGGAATCGAACCCGGGGACCTCTGCGTGGCAGTCCGGTATGGTAACCGTTGGGCCACGGAGGCAGTTAAATTGGACTTCAGTCAGCGGACGCAATCAACGAGTATAGTAGACAATAATCCGCTTTATTAAAGTTCCATTCCGTGTTTATTTCGGTAGGTCTGATAGAACTCTCGCCTTGGACCGCACCCCCGCCATCGGCATCCCTCTAGTATTTTGGTAGAAAATTTCTATGCTACTATGGTTGTTGGACTGGTTTAATAGTAGATCTCCGAAACCAAATCCACTCACTAAATTCAACATTCAGAGGCCATACTTCAGGTTGACTGAGCTTTCCATATACTGCCTCCGACACAGTGATAATGAAGGAAGCATAGTTTCTTTCAGTCTTGTGTTTAATTCTCTCGATTTTGACAGAGACTCTTTCAGAGCCACAAACTTCTTTAACATACGCAGTTAGTTTCTCCACTGTAGTCTCTGTAGTCAACCGCCAGATATGAAGATGCTTCTTCCGCTGTGCAGCCTGTATTTCCAGTACATTCGCATTTTTCTCTTTAGCATGGAAATTTCCTTTCTTCCTGTGAAACGTGGTCCATTCCTGCTTCTGACCTTCTTGATGTTTGCTGTTCAATGCAGACCCCGGTATACTAGCTGAGTCCTCATGTGATTGAGATTCTCGTTTGTCACCTGTAACTCTAGCTGACCCTTCCGAGTTTTTCGTGGCCTCTCGCACTTTATCAATGCGTACGGTAGTGCAGATTTCTTTGCCGGCTGTTTTACTGCCGTGGCGAACGTATTCAGCATCGCGTTCACCGGTGTCTCGCACTTTGTTTGCGAGTTTCGATTATTATGTGACTCCAGTTGTTGAGCAGCTTTTACCGGGTGTTGATTGCATATTTTACCAACCTGTTCTTGAAGTACCTTCATATTCGTCTTAACTTCTTGTAATTCACTTTTAGTGGTCGAATATAACTCCCGAAGATGCTGAATAGTCTTGGTTTGAACATCCAACCTTTTTATCATTTCCGATCTAAACTCTACAATTTCGGCCAATACTCTAAAGTCCTTACTTACGGTGATTAGTGATAGTGTTATTTCTGGTGTTTGTGTTATTATAATACGACTTCCCCGCTGGGTGTTAACAAAGTCGCTGGATGAAAATTCTTTTGAGATCTTGCGTAAGTTCTGAATAGGGGTTCGAATAGGTGTATCCGAGTCTGTGCGTGATGGTTTTGGTTTGGAGCAAATGCACTCTGGACAAACTCATTGTTGCTTGAACTCGGACGTGAATGACTAATAATCTTCCTGCTCCATTCCAATGCAGGCTAGATGGTACCCTTTTTCACAGTTTTTGTAAGAACATGTCATGTACAGTTCATTATACACGTCTTTTCCACAAGCTCGGCACACCGAAGGCATTTCTAATTATTTAAAAAAATAATTTCAATTTGGCCGCGCAGTTCTATTATTCTTTAAATGTTGTCGTCTAGTAAATAGAATTCACATTCGCCATTAATGGACATGGCCGCGCGTAAACTTTCGCGCTGGGTAAGTGGGCGCTCAGGGGTCACGGCACGTTTGCAGCTTCAAGCTCTGTGTGGCACAGCAACTCTTATAGATAAGCATGTTACAACACGTGCACGACTTGTTCGTCCTGTCACTTGATATTATAAAAAAAGTAATATAGCGCTATTACGGGATGCACGAAAGGAGCCCCCCTGCACGACGTACTATCCCTTTCCTGTAGTACGTCTGGCGCATCCTGTGCAATAATTGAAGAGTACCTTGCGCCGAATGGCAAAACCCTTTCACCACAATGGTTAGCATTATAATGTATGACATCGATGCGATAAGAAGAAGCTTTACTATACCTGTCGTACAGAAATTACCACGATTGTTATATGATAAAGTCTAGACTTTAAAATAGACAGCTTATCAATAAAACCAAGAAGGACCAAAATATGGAACAATGAGTAAGTATTAAAAATATACTAACTTGTGCAATCATCGTTCCAAATATAGGCAAAAAAACTTTTTCTGTCGAAAACCCTTGCGCTATCGCAAAGGCCAAAGACGTGCAGATAAATGTTAAAATGACGGCCACCCACATGTGCCAATGGAACGGAAGAAGCGGGAGCTCCCAACTGGCTACCAACCTTTAAATAAAGAATTGCTAGTTACATACAAATGTGAATAATATAAAATGTTATCTGACAGTGAACGAGTAGAACCAACCTAGGAGCTGGAGCGATACAAGTTATAGCCGTATGTAAAGACGCTGCAGAAAAATCCAAATATATATAATATTCGTACCACGAATAGAGAGCACCTAAAAAATTTTAATGCATTTATTATTCCTGTTCAAATCTAACAAAAAATAATAAAATTATTAATAACCATAGACAATATCTATATTAATTACCAATCTCATTACCTTAATACTTATTTTACCTTATATCAGACCGAAATCGTTAAAGAGAAATAAATATACATATTTCAGTTAGGTACTATCTAGGTAAAGAAAGATCGATAGATATAACTACTTATTCCCAGATCAGCCCGATCTTCTATAACGTTTCCAAGAACTCCTACTCCGGTGTTATTTTTATAAATGTCTCCCCATTCATAACCATTGTCACTCACAACAGCAATGCTGCAATTAATCCACCTGTAAAACATAATCGATATTTACTTCTTCTATCAATTATATAAGTATTAATCTGCGTAATTTCCAATTTACCTGCAAAATTCTTCCACGATTCTTATTTCAGTACCGTCGCGACCATGAGGGGTATTTCTAGTATCCAAATCCAAAAAGACATATGGCTTATATGTAAAACATGATACTCTTACCGTTTTCCCATACAAATTTGTCATATCGTGAGGGAACAAATTGACGTTCTTCTCAAATTTCTCTGTACAACTATTCCATTTATCTAGATAAATTGGATCGGACACTTCCTCATCAGGGCCTACAAACTTGTGTGTCACTAGGTTGTAATTCGTACATCTATCAGTGTCACTATTATCAGGCAAAATAAGAAGAACATTAGCCACGAAGCCAGTCGCCTTCAGAGATAGTATATCTAAAAGACTATTTCTGTTATCATTATTATCATTTTCTTCTAATGGTACAAATATTAGCATTTTATCACTCCTTCTTGCATTACCAGTATGAGTAACATTATCAAATGCTGACATAAAAAAACTCGGATTTCGGAGTTTTATGACATAATCCGAACATCCCATTTCAGATACCTCGAGTAAGCGGTTGTTGAAGTCGTGAGGGCCATTAATATCAATATAGGCAAAAGGAACTAGAAAATTTACGTCTAGGGGTGACTCTGCAATTACAGATACACAGTAAGAACTTGTCAAATACTGTTTTATTATGACTGTCTGCAAAAATACTTCGATTGGTAATAACGTGGCTGTGGCAATCATATTGACTTCATGTCACTTTCAACTCAAAGAGCTTATTAAAACATGTCTTTAGTGATCAAGCTTCTATAAACCCTATTTATACCTACCTTTACGATTTGTCATCAAAGTATAGTTTATGGGAAACAGAAGGGTTCGTCAATAAGTGCTTGAATATTCATTTCACTACACATGTTAAAAAGATTACAAGTATTTGTTTTTCATTTATTCATCAACCTATGTAAGTATCTCGGCGGGCACACAAATCTTTTACGGAGTCTTATTATAATCCTCTGTGTGGTGGTGTTGTGGACACGTCGCTTCGCAGATTTTTTAATAACTATTTATTTATGAATAATTATTTATTTATATAACAAATTTCTGTCCTTAGGTTGCCTGGAAAAAATTGCCACATGTCAATAAAGCCGCCTGTAGCACATTGACTTATTATTTTTATACTAAAATTACTGTTTTATGTTGCCACTATACTTTTAAGTGTAAAGAATATTGCATTCATTCATTCATTCATTGGTCATTACAATGGTTTACAAATTACCTTAATACTAATTCTTTTTTATCTATTTATTCTTTCTTCACTATTTAACAATTTAGGCTAAATTAATAAGATTAATGTTATTCTTTCTTTTCATTTATCCAACAATTTATTTTTTTAATTTAACTGCCTCCGTGGCCGAACTGTTACCATGCCGGACTGCCACGCAGAGGTCCCAGGTTCGATTCCCGGGCCGGGAGAAATGTTTGTATGGCTTACATTTATTTCTCTCTTGAGTTTGGGTGTAATTTGTGGTTGTCTATGTGTGTGTCCATGGTACCCGCGACACAGGGTTTCCCTAGTGCGGAGCTATGTTGAGTGTGTGCGTTATTTACTAATTTATTATTCTCTACTCTGCTTAGTAGCGGTAGAGCTCCTTGTGAAAGATTTCGTCCAGGGAAGTACTGCCACCTCACCTAAGAATTTCTGCCGCCAAGCAGTAACATGAAGCACTACTGCGTTCCGGTTTTGAAGGGTAGGTATAGGTGAAATTACAGGCACATGAGTCTTGTTAACTTTTGTCTCATTGTGACAGGTGCAGTGGCAATAGCAGTGCCCCTAAGATCTTTGCAATTTAAAGCTCTGAGTGGCACTGCAACTGTTATGAATAGGTGTGTCGCTTACCACCAGACACACTACTTGTTCGTCCCTTTACTTGATATCATATAGGTATATAAAAAATTGTTATTTGCAAAATGTCCTCATACTGAACCCTTTTACCAAACCAGAATTTTTAAAAGCAATTTTATTTGTTGTCATTCAGGTATATCAACACCAAGCATTCAGAAAGCCACTTTGTTATTATAGTAATTTCCAATAGTTTACCACGGTTTAAAAGAAAATTTACGATTACCTATTAATGTAATAAGTGGTTACACTATGATGAAAGGGAATAAAGAAAAATCAAGAAGACAAATTGGTCAAAATTACCGATATTATACAACTCTTGATTGTTATAAGGACTTGTACAGAGTAACAATTTAACGTTGACAAATATAATAATATGTATTATTTTTGTAACCTTAGAAACAATGAAGTTAGTTATTGAAAATTTTGCGATTATGCCGAGGCTAGAGATTCTTTTTATTTAAACTACAGTCAGTGTAAATTTATTACAAATTTGGCATTACATTATACACATATTTAAATAGCTATATACGTCTTAAAATAGTTATTGCAATGTGTTGATAGTTACTATGTACTGTAGATTTTTACACTTCTACTACCTATTGATATACTAGATGAAAAATGAACCTAACATGTTAACTATTCAAACTCAATTTTGTTTTTTCGTTTTTGTATTGTAGCCAAAGATAATAATGTGCGCTATGTTTTCAGTGTGTGGTGAAGCCACTACAGCTAATGGATATTTTGTTATTACAACGCGACAAAGCACACCGGTTAGCGCCACTGGATCACACTAATTCGTGCTTCTTGATACTTCGTAAAAATTTAATTATTTTACATTCTGCATTATAGTGATGGAGTCAATTGTTCTATAGAGTATTTTTATAATAATTACAAATATTTGAAAGCTCTATAATTTAAAAATTATAGAGCGAGAGAGAGAAAAAAAAATTTATAACGAGAAATATTAACGTTTTATATTGAATTGTAAGTACTGTGTTCCGGTTTAGAAAGTAAGGGTGCTAGATGGTGTTAATGAAATTACAGGCACATGGGACTTGTCAACTTATGCCTCAGGATGACGATCGCAGTGGCAGTGCCTCTCAGATCTTTGCGATTGAAAGCTCTGAATTGCACTGCAATTGCTATGGACAGACTACAGATCACATAAATGGACAGACGTATCGCTTCGTTCGTCCCGTCACTTGGTATAGTAAAAAATGTAATGCGTTTTTAAAATATACTTTCATGGTTCTGATACCAAAGAAAGAAAACAAAAAACTTTATATAATTTCAAAAACTATATAGTAATGAAGCAGAATGGTGGTGGATCAAAACGTTTAAAATTGTGCTTTCACATAACGCGTGTGTGGTCGTCGTGCTATGCAGTGAGGCGGCGCGGGCGCAGAGCTAATCAAACGAGAACCAAAAAACGCGCCTACTACACACGCTGCATGAGTCTAAACAACCTGCAACGCATCAATAGGTACATTACTAAACACAAATATAGATTAAGCTAGTTTGAGTGATAATTAGTTGGGATATCAACATTACTTTATTGTTTTAGTTTTCTATTTTAATGCTATATCATGAAATGTTATGTATTTAGATCCAATACAATTTCTACAGACAACAAAACATTTAAGTCGATTAACTTACCTTATTTAACTGTCTCCGTAGTCGAAAGATTACCATGCCGGACTGCCATGCAGATGTCCTGGGTTCGATTCCCAGGCCAGGAGAAATATGTGTATGGCGTTCATTTATTTATCCCGTGAGTTTTGGTGTAATTTGTGGTTGTCTTTCTATATTCAATCTCAATCCATAACTTGTTACCTAAGCTTGAATAATCAATACAAATCCTATTTTCAGTAACCGATCCATGGATCGTTATTCCGATCTTTTGTTTCAATCCATCTGTGGAAAGGCATATGGCATTTTTAGATTAACTATTGTAGGGCAGTGACAGTTGTGCGCTTTCAATATCCGATCTTAGACTATTGGATGGAAAAAAATAAAGGAAAGGAGCTTCCTTATCTACGGAATAAACGGCTCTATCTAAACCAAAAATGTCCACCACAAATGGCGGATTTAGTGTTGTACCATAATCATAGATAAGCCACTATCGACATCAAATGTATGGCTTGAATGTTGAAACTGTTGTTACGTGTTTTATGTTTGCAAATTTGTGTAGTTTACTGTAATCAAAGTATGATTAATACTAGGCTATATTACTAGGCAAGTAATGAGCCATTTTAATCAAAATTAAATATAAAGTTATTTACCAATAAATGTCACGATGGAATTGCATTATCATGTAATCTAGTTACATTCAAAGTTCTATGTAAATTTGATTGGAGCGAACAAACGAAGATGGTATTTGATCCAATGTTTATATTCGGCAGTCCTATAATTTCCAACCATTCTTTCTTTCTTTTTTCATTTGTAGGTAAACTTTAAAAATAATAATAATGAAATAATAAAAACCTCGTAGTGAATTGTTTCAATAACAGAATATCGATAATATGTCTGCTTACAAGAACAACACTATCTCAAAATAATCGTTATCAACAATCATCAAAATATACTAACAAACAGGCAATCTAAAGTATCCAAAGCAAAATTCGGCAAGACTTATGAATAAACTACTTAAATGAGTCTAATCACACGAGATATTTGGGCTATTGTATGATTTGTAGACAAAAAAAATTGTAAAAAAACAGTACAACGTTAATAAACGCAGCTCCGCTCTCCGTCGCGGGGCGTGGTGCAATGTGTTATTCGCCTTATTGTGCCCGAACGGACACCGACTAGTTGGACATCCTAGGTACTGCTGAAGCGACGAAATCTAGAAAGATCTGAACGACCACGGGGCTATGGCTGGAAGGAACAGGCTCAGAACCGAAACACGTGGCAGAATCTGGTATCCGATGCCACCGAAGTAAGTAAATACATAAGTAACGTAGTCTTTCTGGGAAGTGCGCGAGTAAAAAGGAAACGGTGTTCATTATCAAATCGTGATTGTCGTATAATCAGGATATAGGACAATAGGTTATCGTGTTATCTTATATATTCTTATTTTTAATTACAATCCATGTTATTAAAAGCATCTAGCTCTGCATATTATGTAACAAATAAACATCAATCCGAAATGCGTATTATGGCAAACCTTTCAATCTCTGTTCATAATGTGCAGGTTGTGTAAACAGTAATGTGAGATGGAATTGACAGACACAAAAGTGATCCCCAGTCTTTCTTAATTCTGCTGACATAAGGTTCAAAGTTGTTATCGACGACTATTTTGGTATGAATGCTTTTTAAATCGAGCTGTTTGACTTCACCAAACGACGTGTAACACGACACCTTGTCTTTTTGAGGCTCTCCCCATCTGTTGAAGTTATTTTTTATTTAACTATTTTGTGAGTTGAATAAAACATTGAATATGTTAACTACCGCAACCTTTATTTGCAAAATTAGAAAAATAAATATCGATTTTCATTTTATTTAATAGAAATGAATTCTATATTGCGAGAACTTTGGAGGCTCCTCCAAAAGACTATCTCCAAAGATCGTGCACTGCACCACGATGTCGCTCTACCGACAACAAGACGCACCGCGCTGTGACGCGCGGCTTTACTTTTCCATTCAAAGGAGTGTATACTTTACTTAGTACAGAATACGTTCATATTATTTAGCATTTTGAAAAGTGATCGCTATGCAGCTCGGCTTCTCTCAACACTACTAGCTGCTGGTTCATTTATATTTGTTACTTAACGAAATGTAATTTTATTTTTTAGTGGATAAAGTTTATGGTACGTCGGTCGTTTTAATGCATCGCAGTATCGAGTCGCTTGGCTGAATCAATTTGAGACGATTCCAAAATAAACCGAATATTAAATCCAAAGCAAACCTATTTTATGTAACAAATATCTAAGACCTAAGTAAACTACCAACTAATAAAAAAAGCTCTAATCTTTTTTCCTAAGCTTGGCACTAGAGATTTCAATAGCTCGCAACCAGTGTTTAACTTCCTCAGGACATTCAGGTTTGTGGTCGGCTCCAGGAATACCCTTGAACATAATGTCTGAGTTATTTTTTTGAAAACTCTGACGAGAGAGCACCAGCGCTCGAACGAAGCCGTCGTTAAGCGTTATGAATTTGTGCTCCATGACGAAGGTCTTTTCTTCCCAGCAGACCATCTGTAAACAGTGTATTTTAGTTAGATATCTGTTTTCGACTGTACCACTCGTAGCTCTACTATGAATTATGACTTTAAAAGGAAAGCACCTATTTCTGTCTGTACTGTGAACCACCTACAAAATTATAGACAATAATTATTTCATATTAATTAATATCTTGTGATATTCTTTTTTATTAAATTAGGCGTTTCTTTAAGTCAAAGTCAAAGATTATTTATCCCATAGGTAAAATAAATTTACACTTGAAATGGTCACATTTAAGCTACTGCTCGTTCACTACGCTGACCGCCCTGAGAAGAACGAGCAAGAAACTCTAGGGATTGCTCTTTTCAAATAAACTTAAATGCTATGGAGTACACTTTGAATCAAATTTATGTGGATTCTGGAGCCGTGTCGTCTTTCCATACATCTTTATTATATTTAAAATTTCTATTAATGATGACAAATATTGCCTATCTAGGTAAGTTACATCTAATGGAACCAGTTTACGTGTAACTACAAATACATACAATTTTCAATTTCTTCATTGCTGTCATTAATCAGTTAGGGTGTTAAGTACTTGACAAAATTGTTTTTCGAAGAGAAACCAGCCAAGGGCGGCCTCTGCGTGTAGCAGGAACTGCGCGGCTTCTCTCACAATAGAAGCTCGGCTTAAGACGGACCCTTGACCAGCTCGTATGCGGTGGTCAATTACCTTGATTTGTTCAAATCGACCAGTTTATCATGAGATAGCTCATGTAACTTCACTGAAGTTAATTTTCAACTGAAACATGCTTGTTTGAAATAAGCAATGCTAATTACCTAATTCAATACGTTTATAAGTAGTACTCAATTTATATCTCTTTTTCACACCTGGTACAATCTAATTTACAATTACAAGCTGTACTATTGTTAACCAATTGGTATTTGCATATCTATTGTGTAAGTTAAATTTCAGCAATTGAAATAGTGGCATTCAAAATATTGTCCTAATTACTAATAAAACAATCTTACCTTAGATTCAATTTTGTAAGCAGTGAATATAGGAATGCTTTTTCTATACCGATTGCAGGAAGCCACATGTAAAGGAATGTCTCCTATTTTCTTTATTTTATCATATATACCGGTTCTATCGTAAAAATGGTAACGCGCAAAGTCAATTTCTCTCACAAATCTGGCATTATTCATATGTTTTACCAGTATGTCGATGTCCTGGGTTGTGCAGAAACCTGGAAATCGAACAATAGAATTTGTAAAATATTATATACATAACACGGATTGTTACAAAAAGGTTAGAATTAATTAATTAATTATATAATGAATAACTTTTTATTGCATCCAACATGGTGTGTGGCACAAAAGTCATACACAGAAAGATTGTCCTTCTACTTTACAAAAATTCTCACTGAAATTATATCATTTTCTACATTTTTAAAACTAAAGAATTCCAAAGCACTTCCAATAGTAGTGATAGAGTATTAATTATAAATGTTACAATAGTAAGTTATTCTCACATCATGAAGTGACAATTTTTTTTTTGATACATATAATTTAAACAATGAAAATTAGTAGATATTTAACTACAAATAAATCTTTAATGGTAGTAGATTTTTTCCTGGTAGCTACAACATCAGCATACGTTTAAATGAAAAGTTAACATCTGACATTTTTACATCAGAGGGTAAGATAATCGCTCCTTCTAATCCTCTGACATTAATATAATTTATCTTTTCTATAAATTTCCTATTTCTATATTTTATAGTTAACTATTACACCTTTAAAACATATTTTTTTAATAACTTTGACGTTTCAGAGGGTTGAGTTTAAATCTGAGCTTTAAATCGCAAACGTTTGAGGGGCACTGCCACTGCGCCCGTCACCCAGAGACATAAGTTGACAAGTCCCATGTGCCTGTAATTTCACCAGCACCCTTACCCTTCAAAACCGGCACACAGTAATGTGGACATTACTGCTTGGCGGCAGAAATAGGTAATGTGGCAGTACTACCCAGGACGACCTCTTTCACAAGGAGCTCTACTGCTACTAAATGTACTAAATGTTGTATTAGGAACCAAACTTTTTAAAGGATAAAAAAACTCAATGAGCTTCCAATTAACAAATATTAAGACATTTATACACGTAACAAAAAATTTCACCATATGTATTAGATGATACACGTATGGATGTAATTTACAATTTTGTCGGAAAAGTTATTTGCACAGTTCGATTGTGCATTTAATGTTCGTGTTATAATGTAAATAATCAATTTTCGCAATTTATTTTTTATTAATTGATTACATCATTTAAGCGAGATCTTGTTGTTTGTTTTATATGTATGAATTATTGTAAGGTATAACTTTTTAAATGCTCAAAAACGCATACAGTTGCACGTAGTACAGTACCTAAGCATACAAAATGCCAAGGAACACGGACGTATCACCTATAATAATATGTTTAAAAAAGTATTAATGTCCTTGCAAAATATTTTTTTAAGAACTTAATTTTTGTATTGGAGGGAACCATTGTCGTTCAAAATTAATCCAGATTTTTCAGTTCAGAAAAGACTCTTGAAAGCGTGTGAAGGACTAATCCACAATATCTTATTGAGATGAGACGTCTCAATGAGACAACAGGTCAGATTCATCATCAGTTCCTTTTGATATCGGCGGATATTATTTTTGTGTATGTACAAGGGACTGCTCATTAGCAGTATATTTTATCAGTACATTGTCATTACAATGTACTGATAAAATTATAGTAAAATTTAAAAAAAATGCGCTTCGTAAAACAAAATACAAACGTTTCCACTTCTTATAATTATTATGCACATAAATCAAAGTAAAAACATCATTAACAAAACAATTATGTGTTCACAAGCTCTCTAGGTCGCTAGCATTATATTCAAAATGGCTGTCCAATGTCAACCTGTTTAGTTTTCGGAAATTTTTAATTTCGTATGCGTCAAAGAACTAACCCCCGATTTGAGTTGCAGAATTATACAGCAGAAGCAGAACTAACTTGAAAATAATTTTATTATATTATTTCATACTAATAATTTAGTAATAAAAATACTAGGTACCTAACTATTACTACTTTGTATAGAAATAGTAATTAATTTAAATTTTTTAAATATTGAGTTCTTAGGTTTTCGCGATTGTTACACATAGGAAATGAAATTATTTTTCCGGATTTTAAACGAAACGCCGGTTTGTTTGTAAAAACAAATATAAGAAGATCGTTCCAACACTCAGTTGCCGCAAAACGAAAGCTGCCACTAAAAGAATGTACGAGTAGCGCGTTTCAACTTGTATTTTTATATAAATATTCACTAAAACCGAAAATTAACCTACTACTAAAACTAGCGCACATGAATTTGATTTTTGTCTCACTTGTGACAGTTCGTTTGATATGAAACTATCATTCTATGCGTTATTATTCTAAGAAGCTTTCATCTAATTTATAAGTACTACTATTTGCCTACTTTTATTAATTTTGTAATATAACACCGATTAAAAAAATAATAATTAAACTTTATTTTATAAAGTTCTACATAGTGTGCGTGACTGTTCGCGCCTGATTGCCTTGGTCTTAAACGAAGATTTGACTCTAAGCACAAGAGCATAAAATCCTTTTTTATGCAGCCTACATCCAGCATATATACGAACTTTAAGAGCATGAGAAGTGAAAATAATTTTAGTCAAATGACGACGATGTTCACTGAAATCTTTACTTTCTAACCGTTGTAAATATTACATAATCTAGTAATTACGTGAATACACGTAGATGACACACACCAATTTGCCTATTTTTGTAAATTCATTCTTTATTACATCGAAAAAGATATTCGATTCTTTACGAAATAATTTAGTAATCATATCCTTATTGAAGTTGAAATATTCTCACGTTTTGTATACGAAAGAATACATACGCAAACATAAATTTTAATACATCATTTCAAGTCATGTTCACTCAGTTCCGCGTATAAGAAGGTACAAAATTTGGCTTGTAAGAATATGCAAGGTATCGGAAACTCACCATAAATAGTTGTAGTATCATTGAGTCCACATCTCTTTTCGTAAAATCTACTGCTTATAACAGTGAACCCTGACCGAAGGAAATAATTAAAATCAAAGATGATGTACAAGAAACATATTGTTATAATAAAATACATTTTAGATGTTTATTGACTGTTTAAAATGAACAGTACGCACGACGTGTAATCGTGTATTAACTACTGTATTACATAAATAATTGGGAAACAACGTCAGCGATGACCCAGGGGACTGAATGTAAATCAAAATACATATTGTATTTACATACAATACAATACATAAAAATTAAATTAAATATACTCCCGGACACGAATTCGATCCACCTCGCGTTTTTGTCATAAAGAGCTAGAATACAAAAATAGTGTTATTATCAAAGAAAAAGTTTTCCCCCGGTTTTGCAAATCCAAATTCCAAACAAGGACTTACGGAAAAAACGCTTAGTATACTAATTCCAAAATTGCATAATAGTTTTTGATCGATCAAACATTGTTTAAACTTAGGGCACCTAATACTGAAAATGCGTGGTAGGTCGAATTATGTGTCCGGAAGTGTGTATATGTATAAATATACAATTATAATATTTTTTTTAAATATTTATGTAATATTTATTTATATTTTTAAATTATATATATATATATATATATATATATATATATACATATATAATTTATTATATAAAAATATATATAAAATATAAAGCATTACACGTGTCCCTACGGAGATGTTAAAAATAATCCCGGTATTCAATGGGGACACAAGGCAATTACCACTATTTATAAAAAATTGTGAGGAGGAGCCAAGCGATAGTCCCTGTTCCCATATATAACCCAACCTCTCAAGAAACCCACACCATTATACCTGAATATCCTTTCCTTACGGTGAATAGATTGAATTACAGAGATATATAGAAAACAGACGGTTCCTATGTGCACAAAATAAACTTGCACATTACTCAGTTGTTGGTATTATTGTGTTTCGAACTAATAAAGTCTTCGGTTGCCAGATATGGAAGGCGCTCTGAAAGGGGGAGTGATTGCGTGTTGACGAATTAAGAGCAGAAGAAGAAGAAGAAGAAGTTGAGAGCAGATAAAGCTGGCGTACTGACAGCACATTCGCTTCCAGGTACAGTTGGGATGTAGGAAATAGTCGAGATTTGCAGAGTGCAACTTTCAGTAAATATCTCTGAGCTCGCTCCAATATATTTAAGTTATTTTTAGCAGCTCCACCCCAAGAGGTCATGCAGTAGGTAAGTAAAGATTGTATCAGTGCCACATATGTATATATTTCTTAAAGTTTTGAAGTCAACAACATGTCTTAGCTGTTTGAAGACAAAGATAATCTTACGAATTTTTTGTGACAAACTCTGTATATGCGGGTATTATAAAAAGAGAGATTTTAGTCGATAGTCATTCCGAGATACCGAATGGATTGTATTCTTCCAATCTTTTCACAGTCGCAGGTAGTTGTTGGGGGAAAAGAGCATTTATGGGCATATAAATCGAGATCTAAGCAAGAATTTAAGGTTGTATTTCGAAAACAAAATGGTAGGTATATATTTCGTGTTAGCTGTGTTCAGCATCAATGAGTTTCCTGCTAGCCAGTGAGTGATAATATCAAAGCCTTTCTGTGCCGATGCAAATACATCTTTCCAAGAGTCACCATAGAATGTAAGAGTTGTATCATATTTCTTTTTTTTCTTAAAATTAGAAATGTGCTATACAGTTGCTTCAGTCCAGGAATTAGAGAACCATTGATTCTTTTTCAGGCGATTCTGTCCAATCCTTTCCGGCACAGATCCAACTTTCCCTATGTCTTAAAATTAGAAATGTGCTATACAGTTGCTTCAGTCCAGGAATTAGAGAACCATTGATCTGATGGCAAAAGATGCCACTGAAATTGGATGTCCTACTTACTGTCACGTATTCTATCATGACCTGCCCTTACTGGTAACTCAAAAGATGATGTCCACTTGGGATGTCGAATTGAAAGAGAATAGCAAAGTGAAAGGAAAGCATTATGCGAACATTCAAAATGTCATCCTGAGTAAACCTTGGTTTTTCAATAAATTCAAATCTTGCACCTCCACCTTATGTAGACTAAGGCTCGGCCACTCGAGCACCCCAGTTCATTTGGCTAAAATTAGGGTAAGAGACGGCTCGCTTTGCGAATGTGGACTGGTTGAAGGAACTTCGGATCACGTTTTCTTCAATTGTAACAAGTACCCTGTCTCCTTATACGATATCCTCCCCTCATTCATTCCCAAACCCACAAATTTCGCTCCCCGACGCGTAGAGTCTAGCCGTCCCAGAATATTAGAAGTGCCGTGGATCTCTGTGCTCCCCCTCACTATCTTCCAAACTCATCTGGACAAACCTGCCGGTTACTCACGGCAATAACCATTTTCCAATTATCATCCAAAATATTCCTCGTCCTAAACTAAATTGTAACCTGTTAAAGGCCGACTGGTCAAAAGATAGATGTGTTTTAGACCAGGAAACGCAACGCCTACCTGTAGTTGATCTTGAAAACTTTCGCTCACTCCATGTTGATTTTAGAAATTGCCTGCTGTCATCAACAAGTAAATGCCTCCCCACCAAAAATGTATTCAAGTATAACCCTCCATCTCCACCTTGGTGGAATTCGGAATGCACTAAAGTCTGCAAAGAGAGAAAAACAGCAGAATACACACTAACAATGGCAGAATCCTTTTTATAAAATACCGTGCGGCTGCAGTAAAAGCTGTAAGAGTACTGAGTGAAAAAAAAAAAGAGTTGGTTGGCGCAGATTTTGTGAAACTCTCTCTCCAAGATCTCATTCTTCCTTAGTTTGGAGGAATATCAGAAGATTTAGGGGCTCCATACCCTGGTAATATCTCTTCTAATGACGCCTCGGAGTGGCTCGATCATTTTCAAAACAAACTGGCTCCTCTCTCAGTCCCCACGGAAGATGAGGTAACTTTGTACACGTCCCCTCTTTTATCTGCAACCTCAGTATTTGATTTCCCATTCACGCGGGAGGAACTCTCAACAGTGTTAAACGGTCTCGAAGATTCTGCCCTTGGAATTGATTGTATACTACATTCTTTCATTATTAACAGCAGCTATTGAACCAAAGACTTATTCCTCAGTATTTTATTAACATCTTTCTGACGGGAATCCCTCCGGATGAATGGATAGTTCAAATCATCATACTCATATTAAAACCAGATAAACTTAGTAATGACCCTAATGGATATAGACCCATCGCGCTTTCCTACACGTTGGCTAAAGTCTTACATTATAGCAAAATATTCATATCCTTCGGGCATTGTCTGAAACATGGTGGGGTGTACACCCTCAATCTCAGAAGCTTTTGTACTGTGACAGTGTGACCTCCTTACACCGTCATCTCACCTTTTTGTATCGCCTCTCTCCGCTTGTATCCTATATTTTTTTTATTTTACATGTATTTAAATTTTAAATTTGAATTGTTCCATCTTCCTTCACCTTCTCATTTTGTTTTCGTACCACGGTCACTCCCAGCTCGACCGCCACAACAGTCGGAGCTGTTTCAAATACCATTTACTAAAATCTTATTTTTGATTCTTTACCAAGTTATAATACAAAACATATAATACAACAGTCGGAGCAAAAGAATTACCATAAATTTGCTGCAATAGTTTTTCGACCAAAAATGAAGCCATAAACCCGGATGTAATGGTGCCGCCATTGAAACCCTGGCTATTACGCGAATATAAAGATTTGTACAGACGTTTTCTGGCGCTTTCTGGTACTTTTCAGTACAATGCTCTGATTCGAGCTCGTCTAGATTACGGTTTCTTTTTACTAGAACCATGCCACAAATCCTCTTTAAAAGATCTAGACAAAGTACAACATAAATCTTTTCGAATTATCACAAGGGCTATGAAATCTTCTCCCAGCAATGCACCGCAGGTGGAATGCGCGGACCCCCCTTTATCTATCTAGGAGACAATATTTAGCGGACAGATTCCTTTTTAAATCCTTTCTAAAATGTCCGATGAAGGATGTGTTAGTGCTGCTGTCTGAATACCCAAATTTAAAATTATCCTTCATTTTAAATGCACCCTCTCTTCTGTTTTTACTGGGGAAACCACTGCTGTCCTAGAAGCTCTTCTCTATATTGAGTCTCATAAGCTTGATAAAACTGTCATATTAACAGATTCAAAAAATTCTTTTCAGGCGATTCTGTACAATCCTTTCCGGAACAGATCCAACTTTCCCTATGTCTTAAAATTAAAAATGTGCTATACAGTTGCTTCAGTCCAGGAATTAGAGAACCGTTAATCTGACGGCAATGCCACTGAAATTGGATGTCCTACTTACTCTCACGCATTCTATCATGACCTGCCCTTACTGGCAACTCAAAAGATGATGTCCACTTGGGATGTCGAATGGAAAGAGAGTAGCAAAGTGAAAGGAAAGCATCATGCGAACATTCAAAATGTCATCCCGAGTAAACCTTGGTTTTTTTCATTTAACGAAGCATCAAGCAAGCATTTGCACCTCCACCATATACGTGGGGTGCACTATAAGTTTCCGGAATGAATAAGAAAAAACACTATAAATGTTCAGAAATGAATTTATTGTTTCTCAAAATATTCTCCGTTAGCGTTAATGTACTTTTTCATACGAATGTTCAATTTTGAAAACATTTATGCCACTCCTCCGTGACAATCTATGAAACATATTTTTCACACTCTTCGACAGCCACTTCAGGTGATGAAAATCGTTGACCGCGTAACTGGTTCTTAATTTTTGGAAATAAATAATAGTCACAAGGTGCCAGGTCGGGAGTGTACGTGTACGGGTGTGTACGGCTCATAAGGTCAACGTCGTTCACCTTCAAAAATTCATTTGTCTGTCTGGCCGTGTGAGAACTGGCATTATCGTGGTGTAAGATGATAATGCGTTTATGGTTATTTTTACGGAGTTTGTCAATAACTTCCGGCAAACAAATGGTCGTGTACCAATCACCATTCACAGTACAATGATTCTCTAAAGCAACAGTAGCCACGTGTCCAGTTTTATTAAAAAAAAGATGTAATCATCCGCTTTGAGGCACTTTCCACGCGCGCTACTTTGTTTAGTTTCGGCTCATCTCAAAAGACCCATACGCTTGATTGCTGCGTTGTTTAGGGATCGTAACTAGAAATCCATGTTTCGTCACTTATTACTATCCCACACCATTTGACGCCCCTTCGTTGAATCTGGTAAGCATGGCATTGCTCCACGTGACGCGATCCGTTTTTTGAGCCTCAGTCAAATTGTGTGAGATCCACCGAAAGCACAGCTTTTTCACACCCAAAGGTTTGTGTACTGTGTATTGATTGTATTTGACTCATGCCTATGCCTAAAGAAGCCCGAATCTCATGGTATGTCACATACCTGTCTGTTTTGATCATACGGCGCACAGCATCGACGTTTTTGCTGTTCACAGCAGTGGACGGGGAACCATCACGAAATTCGTCACTGAGATTCACACGACCGCGTTTGAATTCTGCAAACCAGCTATAAATAGTCGACTTGGATGGTGCCTCATCGCCAAAAGCAGTTTGAAGCCGAGCGAAGCTCCGCTGAGCTGTTAATTTACACTTAAAGTCGTAGAAAATCATACTACGAAAATTTTCACGAGTTAAATCCATGGTAATGTAGACAACCAATTTCTAAAATGACGCCACAATGTAAAAACAAGTGACAGTCAGATGAAACAAACTGTATTCTACAGCCAAAGAATTCCGTTTCAAATGTTATAATTACTTTTTAAATATTATTTATGTAAGTGGCCAGCTCCGGAAACCTATAGTGCGCCCTATGTAGACTAGACTCGGCCACTCTAACACCCCAGTTCATTTAGCTAAAATTAGGGCAAGGGACTCCGGATCACATTTTCTTCAATTGTAACAAGTACCTACTCTGTCTTCTTGTACGATATCCTCCCCTCATTCATTCCCAAACCCACAAATTTGAATATAAAATTTAAGTCTTGTGGATACGTCTTGCATCAATGTCCTTTGTGATTATATAACCAGCAATAACATAAAATTATAATTTGTTCGTCCTGCCTAACATACCTACTAACATTTGTCTATATGTATTGTTTTCTGTTCCTTTCAGGTCATTCAACAGCTCTGCAGCTTTAAAATCTAATAAGTAAGTATATTTCATATCACACTGAGCTCTCACAATACTCACTGAATAGCAGTGTCTTCAGAAGCCCTTAAAATTACTAAGCGGAAAACTCGATACTGGCGAAATCTAAAGGGTAGCGCCATTATGTAAAAAGAAGAAGAAGTATTTTCGGAATCCCGTGGCCCTGAATTCGGTGGATTTTATGCCACCGAATTCAGAAAAGATTCCACCAAAGTCTGAAAAAACTGTCACCAACGCCATATTTTCTTTGAAAAGCAAGAATTTTATACGTTATTTTCACAATTTTATAGTAGTACCTACTACTTCCTACTGCCTCCCACTGAAAATTAATAAGGAAAATCAAAACAGAAGAGAAAAATTGGAAATCAAGACGATGAAGGGACGTGCTAGAGAAGCAAAGATAAACGCGATCCAATTATATATGAAACGTTTAAAGAAAGAGGTATGCGAAGAACAAGCGCAAGGAAAGATTTTGAAGTTGCGTGAATTACCTCGTGATATATAAAAAGTAATGTAAGATATTAGTCGTGTAAGTTACAAAATTTTTTGGAGATTGTTTGATTGCTTTTGTAGCTACAGGTTGCCCAATTTTTTTTTTAAAGAGATACGGATATACTTTGTGTGATTGAAAAAAGGCTGCACAGGCAAGCTGATTTTCATTAATACACTTAAATTTGTTTTCGTTGTTCTGGTCGCTTTTTATATAAATTTTAGTTTTTAAAGCTTGATGTAATAGTTAGTCATATTAGAAAATATTTATGTAGATTATTGAATGTTTTTATTACCTTTTTCATAATATTTTATACAAGAATTATGCCTTTGTTAAATTATTCTGATTTCTGTAGTAGCTGAATTCGGTGGATCAAATATGTCATTAACTGTTAAGAATCTAGTTGCCCAATGCCGAATTAACGGAATTTTATGTACATGTACGTTGGAGTTCCTTTTCCTTCCGCTCAATGTTTTTCCTGAAATTAAAAAAAAATCGACCACCGAAGAAAGAGAATTTAGCCCTTCTTGATGAAATGCCCATTAGCATAATACCAACATTTTTTTTATTATACATATAAGTAAACAAATTACACAAAAAGCTGCCCCTACCATTCATTCACATGAAGCAAAACGTAAAAATTAAAAGCGCTTAATACGTTGGTAGTGTGTATTAATACTTTGTTACTGTGGTGAAAGGCACATAGTAAGTCGCGCTAAAAGTAAAAAATTCAACAAAGATTATTATTATGAAAGAAGACATACTTTTATACTTTAGTAACACTTTCAGTCTCTCCGCAAAGAAAAAATTATAATGTTCGTGCCTGTACAAAATATCGCCAGTTCTGTACCAGCCATCATCCGCAAAAGCTTCCTTGGTGGCTGCCATAGTACCCCTGAAAAATCGAAGAAATTAATAGTACATTGTATATTAAGGGCGATAAATAAGGACTTACGAACGAGACTCTATTAAAATCTTATCGGAGTCGAGGTTCGTAATTCCCGTACCGCTCGTGAAACACACAATGTTGTTTATCACACTTGTACGTAAATAGTATGATTGCATGCAAGCTTTTTTTATGACACCAAGTGACAGGACGAACAAGTCGTACGCCTGATGGTAAGCTACACGCCAGTTCATAACAGTTGCAGTGCCACTCAGAGTTTTAAATCGCAAAGATCTGAGAAGCACTGCAACTGCGCCCGTCACCCTGAGACATAAGTTGACAAGTCCCATGTGCCTGTAATTTCACCACCACCCTTATTCTTCTAAACAGGAACGGAGTAATGCTAACATTATTATTTAGCGGCAGAAATAGGTAAGGTATCAGTACTTCCCTAGACGAACAATTTCACAAGGAGCTCTACTGTAACTACTAGGCTAACTTGACTATAATGTCCCAAATAAAACCCTCAGGACTTTTTTCTTCTCATTACAGCCATGGTCGTGTGTGATGAAAAGAAAATACCGAAATAGTAACTGATGAGTCATTTTGGTATTTTCTTTTCATCACATTCTTTGTTCAAGTGTTCATCTAGGTAGATGAAGATGGTCTTTTCTTCCCAGTAGACCAGCTGTAAAAAGAGTACAAACACATTTTAGTTAAAAAAATAAATAAAATAAAGGTTTAAACATTTTACAAAGGAGTCGATAATTTGTACTTGACAGGGGTATTCCTGTATTCAGATAAGTTTTGTAACGGGGCAAAATAACGTAATGAAAAATAAAAGTTCGAATCCTTGGAGTAATAAGTCCACATCTTTTGTAGCAGTAGAGCTTCTTGTGAAGAAGTTCGTCCAGTGAAGTACCATACTTATTTCTGTCGCCAAGCAGTAATGCATTACTGCGTTACGATTTTGGAAGGGTTTAAGGGTGCTGGTGAAATTACAGGCACATGGGACTTGTCAACTTGTGCCTCAGGATGACAGGCGCAGTGGCAGTGTTCCTCAGTTCTTTGCGATTTAAAGCCCTGAGTGACACTGCAATTGTTATGGACAGGCGTGTCTCTCACCACCAGCCATACGCCTACCTTTGTCTAGTATTAAAACATTTAATAAAAATACAAAATTATAACCATCGTTGTAGGAGTTTCTAATAGGAAATATTTACCTTCCCAAGGCCTGTCCCTTTCGGTCCCTTCGGACTGAAGATACATATGTCAAGATAAAAAAGTCAATTCAATATAATATTATAAACTGGAACAACACTTTTTTCAAGTATTGCTATATTTTTGTTTGTTCTTTACCAAAAACAGTGTGTTAAATATTGATATATTGATGTCACATTATCAATACACCAATATAACTAAATATCAACAACATTAATTTTCCGCCATCGTATTATTCGACTTATCTTAAGCGGTATAATGTTCAAAGTGCATATTGACCAGCCTTTCGGTATTAATGCAATTTAGATCGAGCTGTTTGACATCACTAAATGACGATATGTGACTCGATATCTTGTCTTTTTACCACCTGTTAAGGTATGTTTTTATTAACGACATTATTTGACGGAATAAAACACTGAATGCATTAATTACCACAACCTTTATTTGCAAACTAGAAAAGTAAATACCAATCATGTGACTATGTACTGTGTTCCTTACATCACCATTAAAAAAACTACTTTAACTTCACTCAATGATGTTATATGGTACGTAAAAACTTTTAAAAAATTTAACGAACTTCAAAAGCCACTAACAGTCACTACACTAAATGGCGAAACAAAAGCAAAGTAGAGATTTAATCCAAACCATAACAATACATGTAATCATTTTTCTCTTCTCCTCTTCAACCTCGAGAGTGCACACTTTCAAACAAAAAAACAATTTTCAAAATCTCAACACAATTGACGAAGAAATCGATCTATATACAATTTGAGGATTTCGCTCGATTTTCGTGGCATCCTCATCAGATTCTGACTTGGTGTCAATGAGCCCACCTCGAGAGTGCATCCTTTCAAACAAAAAAGAATTTTCAAAATCGGGCCACAATCGAAGAAATCGGACAATATACACAAAACATACACACAGCCAAACTTATAACCTCCTTCTTCATTGACTTCACTTTAAGAAAGCTCTACAACTAAATATGTATATGAATTTTCTTCCGAACCGAACACCGTCGAACCTTTTACAAAATATACCATATATTAGAGGCAAATCAAAAATGTATATTTTTATAATAAATACTTAGCCCTAAGTAAGCTACTGAGTTAAATCCCTACTCCTTTTTTCTAAGCTTAGCACTAGAGATTTCAATAGCTTGCAGCCAATGTTTAATTTCCTCAGGACATTCGGGTTTCTGGTCAGCACCAGGAATACCCCTGAAGAGAGTGTCTGAGTCTATGTTGAGCAAATTCTGACGAGAAAGAACCACGGCTCGGACGAAACCGTCGTTAATCGTTGTGAACTTCTGCTCGATGAAGATGGTCTTTTCTTCCCAGTAGACCAGCTGTAAAAAGAATACAAACATATTTTAGTTAAAAAAAATTAATAAAATAAAGGTTTAAAGATTTTACAAAGGAAATTAGTCGATAATTTATACTTGACAGGGGTATTCCTGTTTTTGGATAAGTTTTGTAACGGGGCAAAATAACATAATGAAAAATAAATAAAAAAAATAAAAGTTCGAATCATTGGTATAATAAGTCCACATCTTTTGTAGCAGTAGAGCTTCTTGTGAAGAAGTTCGTCCAGGCTGCTTTCTTACCTATTTCTGCCGCCTAAGTGTAATGTCAGCATTACTGTGTTCCGATTTTGACGAATAAGAGTGCTGGTGAAATTACAGGCACATGGGACTTGTCAATTTATGAGTGACGGGCGTAGTGACAGTGCCCCTCAAATCTTTGCAATTTAAAGCTCTGAGTGGCACTGCAAACGTTATGGACAGGCGTATAGCATATCATCAAGCGTACGACTTGTTCGCCCCGTCACTTGATATTATAAAAAAAAATCTGCGTAATGAGAACTTTTCACGAGAAAGATTTAAATATTATAACTATTATAATCCCCAATGCTCCAGAGGCGGCTGCGCAAGTGTTCCGGGCGCGGGAATTTTTATAATGTACGAGTTTATACGAGTCCTGCTACACTGACGACGATGACGATGCGCGGTCACCGCGCATTTCAGTGTCGCAGGATTCATATGAACAAGTATATTACAAAAATTCCCGCGCCTGGAACGCTTCCGCGACCGCCTCTGTGTGGCCAGAGAATAAGAGTTATAAAAGTACACATATACATAATTTGTTTCATGCGTACTATTTTTATGACTCTCATGTAACAAAAGCTCTTTTGACGTACTACAATTGGTACCTGAGTGTTATTAATGTTATACCAAGTGTGCGAGATATCATTTGGATATCTTTGAAAGGAAAGCACCCAATTTTGTTTCTACCATACAACACCTATCTAAAGAATTAATATATGTACTTAATAATCATTTAATAATTACTATTAGGTGATTATTATGTAGTAAATTAGAAGTTCTTTGAAATTACTCGTTAATGATGCGGATATTTGCTACGTACTTAGTTAAATTAAGTGTAATAGAACCAGAAATTTAATTTGTGTTATTACCAGATATTTTTAATTGGCCGAGTGTATTTACCTAAACATCAAAGAAATAATGCACATAGAGAGAATAAAACCAACCTCTCAAATTTCGGAATTATCATTATCATCATCGATCCATTTAAATGTCCTAATGACGGGTACGAGTCTCCTTTCAGGCGAGGGTTAGTATTGCTTTATTTTGTTATTATTATTGTTTACTTTATTTTTCTCAGCTTGTTAGCTGGTTTGAACCACACTTACGGACCGAAGTCAAGTAAATGCAGTATGGCGTGTATCGACGAATATGTGGTGGATGTGTAATAAGATCCTACTTCGTCCTTTTCCATCTCATATTATTACTGCTTATTTCTATAAGAAATTTCTTTCTGCAGACCTAAATAGAGGCTTTGTTCTATATTTTTAAAGAGTAGTTAGTATTTTAAGCCGCTATTGCCGCGAAGGGTTGGACGTGCTGCCTCTTAAGCAGAGAGTCGTCGGTTTACTCCCGGGTTTGCACCTCTGCTCTGAGTTTTTCGGAATGTATGTGTAATTTAATTTGACATTTACTATGAGTTTTTCAGTGAATGAACACATCGTAAGAAGACCTACACAGTACACGCATCTGCAAGCAATTTAATGTGCGAAAAGTTCCCAACCCGCACTAGGCTCGCGTGGGAACTACTGCCCAATCCCAGTCATTGTGAGTAAAGACCTGTACCCAGCGGTAGGAATATATCAGCCAACTACATATTATATATACCGCAGTAGCGCATTAAAAATAATTAAAAAATATTTTAGTAGCAGTAGAACTCCCTGTGAAAGAGTTCGTCCAGAGACGTACTGCCACCTTACCTATTACTGCTGCTAAGCAGGTCGTGGCCCTTAAAAATGAACTTAACAAATATTTTTTATGATACCAAGGACGGGACGAACAAGTCGTGTGCCTGGTGGTGAGCGATACGCCTGTCCACTTGAAGTGCCACTCAGAGCTTTAAATCGCAAAGATCTGAAGGTGATGGTAGATGGATTAATTATATGTTCACATAATTTCAAACGACAATAACCTTGTTAATAATTCATTGTATGTTGTTGTTGTATTGCATGCACTGATGTCAATGTCCTGAATAATAAATAAAAATAAAAAATATTTTGAGGGAGAGCGAGCGCTGCATAAAGCGAGACTCGCGCGCGTGTACTCTCACAACAGCCTGCTTCATTCAAGCCGGACCTAAACTTGCCTTGATTCGTTCGAACCAACCATTTTATACTTGATTCGTTATAACCATAATCATGAGAAAACCACGAAGCTCACACTAATCGATTGTCATTATTGCCAACCTAATAATCAAGTTAGTTTTCAATTGAAACATTTTGAAACATCTGCTACCTGCACAATTCAATACTTTAATAAGTATTTAAGTACTTCAGTACCTAAGTTAAAATTTGTTTAAAGTATATTATTATGGACAGGCGTGTCGTTTATCACCAGGCCCGGCAGACTTACACCAGGCAGACTTGTTCGTCCCGTTACTTGATATTATAAAAAAATATTTTTTTTTATGTTTCACAAATACTGGAATCTAATCTAGAATTACCAATCAATAACAAAAATGTACATACTTATTGCTACTTAATGATTTCAACACTTATACATATAACACATTAATCTTTGTAGGCATGTGAGTTATTGTTTTAAACAGTACTTCGTCTTGCTCCCTTTGTAAATATTTTTTTTTTTTCATGAATATATTTATGTGTACGTATATTAATGTTATGTATTATAATGTAATAATAATAATAGTTCATTTCAGGAAAAGTTTCCATAATTTGTTAGCAAGACTTAGCATAACTATGTTAGTAGGTACTTATTTAAATTACATTAATAATAAGGGGAAGGCGGAATTAAATCGTGTAATTCCATCGCATGCTCTCCGTGATATATCCTGTAAAATACCGATAAGCAGGCAACTTTACGGCGGTGTTCAAAGCTCTGCAGCCTGGCCTCTACTAATTCCGAGCCACCTATAAGCCTCTTGCACGCTTGGCAATTGAATCCAAGGTGGCCAGTTGGTATGTAGCAGAGCCATCCCAAAGGTGGCAGCAATACTCCAAACACGACCGGACTTGTGCTTGACACAGCTGAAGCAACTGACCCGGTCACATTACTGCTTGGCGGCAGAAATAGGTAAGGTGGCAGTACTTCCTTGGACGAACTCTTTCACAAGGACTCTATTGCTACTAAAATGCTTATGACCTTTGCTCCCACTGCCTTAAGTTGACTGCAAGAAATCTCTTTTAGAGATAAGTCCACCTTTGCTCACCTTGTCTTCAATTAATATTTCTGTTGTATTTATTTGGTGCAATAAACAATATATCATAATCATAATATATCATAATTTATAAAATAATCTTACTTTAGTTTCCACTTTGTAAACAGTGAAGATGGGAATTGTCCTTCTATACCGAATGCTGGAAGCCCCTTGTAGAACATGGCCATCTACTTTGGTGCAGTTCTCATATATGCCGGTTCTATCGTAGAAGTGGAAACGTGCAAAGTCAAGTTCTCTCACATATCTCGCGTTATTCATATGCTTTAGAAATATGTCGACATCCTGAGTTGTGCACAAACCTGAAATTTGAACATAAAGAAACAGGATATAAACAATTTTAGTAATTACAATTTTGTTTTCTTGACGTCCTCGGTAACTCCATTGTTTATACTGTGGGCACTGGATGAGGAGGTCCCGGATTCGATTCCCGGTAAGACCAAATTGGGAAATGAACTTTTCTAAATTGGATCAGATCTGGGTGTTCTGGTACGTGCCCCAGAGCGAATTCCGTTGCTCTGGTACTCATAGTACCTGTACTCCTATTGCCTGGTCTCAAACTAGGGAATTCCCTGGAGTGGTATCATGCACATTACATTATTACATCATTATTTTTTTTCCTGATATTATTAACTTTTTATTACAGTCTGCATATTAAAAAAGTATGTTAGAATTTCATAAAGTGACTGTACCCATGAAGTCATTCCTATAACGTGAGTTTTTCAACTTGACTGGGTATGTCATCGTGAAGCCTTTTTAAACCTTTTATCAAGTTGCGAAAATATTTTTTTGATTATATTAGTTGTATCATGAATATCATGACACTAAAGTATGGGCTCACCTCTTTAGTTACAGTCTGTATATTATAAAACTGCGTTTGAATGTCATGGGATGACTCTACCCGTCATACCCTAATGCCGATAATAATAATTTATTTCGAACGAATATTCTGTGGATATACCATAACCTGTTTTTAGAGTTTTTAAAGTACTTTAAATTTTTACACATGAGTGAGTCAGAGAATAGAGTGCAGTCTACGATTTCAATTAGCTTTACGTTATTGTATGTAATTACAAAAAACTGCAACTTTATAAGAAATTATTTATGGAGTCTTCTATTTACATATATTAAGAAAATAATATATATGCTATGAAAAAATGGAACCACATCATGTATGGACGTTAGGGCGTCATTCACAATTTCCACAATGTTTACAATAGTTTAACTTAATATATTTACAATAATTACAGTTATTCACATTTAGATACATTTTACAATTATATTTATTGTCATTAAAATTTATCCGAATAAGGCTACCAACAGGTTGACTGCATGTTGTATACTGCATACACACTGTATGTAGTCGAAACCGACGTCAAGCACCCGAGATCGACCGCATGCAGTTAATCCGTGAAGTCGTTATCAACTTCACGCAGTCGTAGTCTCAGCTGCATGAATTTGATAACGACTTCACGCTTCAACTGCAAACATGCAGTCAATCTGTTAGCAGCCTTACAATGACTTATTAAATCTTATGTGCACGCCCATGTCATGTTATTAAAACAAAACATGTCACATCTAGTTTGTTGATATGCATGTGAATAAATGTATAATGCACCTTCAATGTTTGTATGCCTAATGTTTAGCCGAACACTGTGAAACTATACTTATTTTGCTATAGGTACGTCAACGTTTATACAACCTGTATTTTCGCAAATAAATAAATTAGGAATTATGAATTACATATTCCGATTATGAACTTAATGTGATTTCATTGATTATATGTTGTTACATCCATTAATATCGTTACACGATATTATAGCTATGATCGCATGAGTTCGATCTATATATAGCATGCAACTATAAAGCATGTAAATATTTTATATTTGCAAAAAATAAAACAGTAGGTAGCCTCAAATCTAGAAATGTATAATTCTCCGCGTGAATTAATATATGTGTAAGAATATTACGAACAGTACAACTTTATTCTAATACGACATGGAATATGTATTTAAAAGAATAATGAGTTCAGAACATAAGAATGTACCTACTTATAAAAGAACTTCTACACAAATACAAAATCAAACACTTCTGTGTTTCATTTTGTATTCTGCATTTCTATGTAGAGTCGTGTTCACTCAACACGTCTCACATAAAAAAAAACCACAAAAATTGGATTGTAAGAATGTGCAAGGTATAGGAAACTTACCGTAAATAGTTGTGGTATCGTTAATACCGCATTTCTTCTGGAAAAGTCTACCGATTCCAATAGTGAATGCTACTCGAAGGAAATAGTTCACATCCCAGAAGACGTACAAGAGACATATAACTGTAGCTATAATACAGTACATTTTAAATGTTTATTTACTGTTAAAAACAAACGGTACGCACAAAGTTTGATCGTACACTAACTAATAACAGCGTTATATGCGTAGTTATGGCGCAACGTCACCGGTGACCACTGCGAAGGTGTACACAACAAAAAAGTCAATGAACCTGTATCATTATACAGAAGTTAGCTACAGAACGTTTAAAGTTCAAGCTTAAATCATAGTTAATGGCTTAATATACAAAAAGTATTTATAATTTCAACATTATCTTATCAACGCGCTGACAATTTATTTATAAACAATGCCTACTTTTTACGCGTCCCGTTCCGTTAAACGAAAGATAAAATTCTTAGATTATCGAAGTAGGTCAACGAAAATGAAAATACGGGCAGAACATAAAGGCTTATATTGTAAATTATATGGATGACACGCTCGTCACGAATTTTTATTCTTATAACCTTTGTTAGAAATAATAGAATGACTATAGGAAATGAAACTATTTTTCCGGATTTAATTTCCAATCAATCAACCATGACCATGGGACCTGTAAAGGGCCCAAAACGTCGGTTTGTTTGAAAAAACAAATACACGCGATTTAAATCCGGAAAAATAGTTTCATTTCCTATGTGCAACAATCCCAAAAACCTAAGAATTCAATAGAATGATTACTAAATAAGCAAGTCATTTCATTTTGCTAGTTCTGTCTTCTTAGTTTCTCACTAGAAATTTTCATACTTTTCAACCAGTGCCTAATATAATCTGGACATGGTTTAATATTCTGAAAACCAGCGAGACCTGACAATAAAGCCTCTATAGATTCGCCGTTTTGTCCGATACCATGCTGTCGAGATACCAGAAAAGCTCGAAGTTTGCCATCACGTAGAGTTATCACTTCGTGTTCAAGGAAGAGAGACCTATTGTCCCAGTACACCAACTGAAATATTTTTTTACAATATATGAATTATATAGATTACTTGGTTGACTTGCGTTTTTTCAATCTCACGTGATGTAAATTCAAAATATCATATGATTAATGAAAAATAAACACCTTTTTGTTTGTTGACACACTTTAACACTACGTTATCCACATCGAATTTGGCTAGACAAAATTGATTTTTGAAAAGATCAACTGTTTTTATGGTACAGGGTCAAAACTACGTAAAGCTTGACACTTAAGATATAAATCCAACTCTATGCCGCTTGCGATAAAAACGGTCCAAAGTACAAAGTGTCAAGTGTGACGTGCTCTTGACTGTACCAAGTGATGGGACTTAAAAATGGTTGTTTCACGATAGCCGTAAACCTCATAAATGGCTAATTTTAAAAATCAACAGAAATCTTCTTATAGAAGCATATATATTCCATCTTAAATGAATTTTAAACTTAGGGGAAAGGTGTACGAGATGATCCTTGGAGGTATGATGATCCTTTTCACGCTCTTCACGCTTGTCACGCTCTTGAAGCTGTACCTTTCTTTAAAACGCTGATAATACATTGGACATAGTTATATGTATATCAAAGGATCCAATTTACAGGCACATGAGACTTATGAACTCAATGTGAGGGGACTTGTAATTTATTGTTCAAAATAGTTAAGTAGATACCTAAATTTGAATATATGCCTATTCATTTTTACTTTGGTGACCTACCTACTTAACTAAAAAATAATTAACTTCACATACGTGATACAAGGATGTATATGTAAATTCATTAGTGTACATTAATGATATCAAATTATTAATAGGTGCTAGTGTCCCGTTCATAAATTAGGTATCAGACAAAATCGAAACAAATACTGTTTGTTCTGGATATTAGTTCCGTCTCTATCTTCATTTATGATACAAAGTGACGACTTTGTATTATAAAAAAATCCTCAATGACAAAAATTCTTAAAATTAGCATTTTCTGCGTGTGTATTTCAAAATTTACCTCCTGTATGTTTGATGTTATAATTAAAAAGTGAGTAATAACAGTTAAAAAGTATAGATACCTTAGTGTTAATCTTATAAAACGAAAATAAAGGAACGGGATCCGCAATCAAAATGAGAGTGCATCCTTGTAAAGATTTGATTTTAAGGTCCTGGCTTCTTTGGAATATTCCAGTGCGGTCATAAAAATGATATCTTGCGAAATCCAGATCCCGTAAGAGTCTAGCTGAACGAATAAACTTGAAAGTGACATCACAGTCTTGAAACGTGCAAATACCTAAACAACATAAAATCGCGTAATTATTATAAAAGCAAAAAATACACAAAAAAAGCGTCGTATTTTAACTCAACCGTTCATTCACAGGAAGCAAGAAACTAAAGACTCTTTTTTATATAATAGTCAGTACTATCTACTTTAAAATACTGTAGAGTTTGTAACAATACATTTTTCCAGGTTTCTTTTTACTTTATCTACAGCCTTGTTGGTTATAAACAGATGCGTTGTCGTACCATAATGGAAAGAGTGCTTACCTCCCGTGGAGCTCAGCCCTATTCCTTGTGTACCTAGTCAGGTAATTTGCTGACTATCGTGATCAAAAATGTCACGCTTTTTTTAATTTTCGTATACATCCAGGCATAGTGAGCTGATTGGCTAGTTGATTTGGGTGATTTATTGTTAATAACTTGTATATAAAGTCGTTTATTTTTCATAAACAAAGGTATTTAACGAACATGTTCTCAAGAGCAAAGATTCCAAAAGATATAATTAGCTATTACCACAAATTTGTTTACATCGTGTTACTCGACTTACCGTATACCGTAGTGGTATCATCCAAGGAACACTTGTTTTCGGTAAATCTGCCACTCAACACAGCAAAAAACGTGCGAACAACATAATTCACGTCAATACAAATGTAGAGAACAATTATGAACAACAAAATGTACAACATGGTTTGATTTTTACGGATGTTGATAGTATTTACGACTGCGACCCGAACACTGGAAGACATGAATTCAATGTAAATGAGGTGATAATGTTATACAATATGACGTCGTCGTTTTGGACGAACGTGTATCGCTCATAGAGATTAGCTAAGAAAATTTTTGGCGCAGCTATGTAGCATACCTACTGAAAGTACAAAATATTATTTATAATTTTCATGTTTTTATTATAATTTACAATAACTGTATCTAATTTATGTATGTAAATTAGTAACAGACCTCTTTTTAAAAGAGTTCGTCCAAGGAAGTACAGCCACCGTACCTATTTCTGCCGCCAAGCAGTAATGGGGCATTACTGTGTTTCGGTTTTGAAGGGCTTAGGACTTTTCAACCTATATCTCAGGGTGACAGGCGCGGTGGCAGTGCCCCTCAAATCTTTGCGATTCAAAGCTCTGAGTGGCAATCAAGCCGCTACGTACAGTCAAGAACACGTCAAGCTTGACACTTTGTACTTTGGACTGTTCTTATCGTAAGCGGCATAGAGTCGGATTTAAATCTTAAGTGTCAAGCTTGATGTGCTCTTGACCCTGTACAGGCGTGTCGCTTAACACCAGGCGCACGACTTCTTCCTCCCATCCCTTGGTATCGCATTAAAAAAACAGTAAACATGTTGTAATATTTTGGTTAGTAATTTATTGTTCAAAATAGTTAGTGGGTACCTGAATTTGAATATGTACCTATTCATTTCTACTTTGCTGACCTACCTACTTAACTAAAAAATAATTAACTTCCCATACGTGATACAAGGCTGTAGTGTACCTACAATAATGATATGAACTTGTTAATACGAATAATAATAATAATATGTTTTAATAAACGGGACACTGCAACAAACAATTTATGCCAGTGTCCCGTTTATAAAGATTAGGTATCACACAAAATCGAAACAAAGATTGTTTGTTCTGGATATTAGTTCCGTCTCTATCTTCGTTTATAAGATTGTCAGGAATTTGTATTTGTCAGAGTTAATAGCTAGAGGCGATGAGGGGCAAAGTGTTTGGTTTTCTAATTTTCCACCCAGTACAGAATATTCTGAACGACGCAGCCTGCTTTAATACCGCTTGGTCAGAAAATAAGTTTAAGATCTTTTATTTTATTTATTTTACTCAATAAGAGTGCAGTACAATAACATCTTCAGTATGCTGTTGGGACTACCTTGGCACTGCTGTGCGTCAGACGTGTTTGCCGAAGCGCGAACAAATGACTTTAATGCCATTAGGAGGAGAAAAAAGGTGTCTCTGCCAAAGAAAGTGCGTGATAGTGGCAATGGCATCTTGAAGATGTTTGCCCATCGTTTTGACTGTACAATCTTAAAGTTATGGTTAAAGATCGCTACTGGACAAATTAAGTAATGATTTGTGCATTTTCTTAATTTTAATATTTTCATTTTTGTGGTTCAATAGTTTAATTTTTTTAATCAAATTTTCAAAATTCTTTGCAATCATCTTAACATAGTTTTAAAGTTTGCTTTTGTAACTAACACCATTATCTTATAGGCTGTGGCCTGAAATATTTTTTTTATTATTTTTCAAGAAAAAGTTAATTACACACCCGTCAACTCAAAATAACAACACTTTTTCATGTATTGATTAAAATTTATTAGTAACCTATTTTGGATGCCTACAAGCTAAGTAGTTTAAATACTTACAATACTTTCATAAATTCTAAATCGAGTGTTCGACTACTGCGTCTTTGGCATTAAACAAGCTGATGAGTAAACAATTTACAATATACTCAACAAACACTTAAGCATACATCCGCAAATTAATAAATTGGCGTAACAATATGAGAGTAAAATATGGAAAAAGTGTAATTAACACGAAATTTCTCAGCGATGATTGCACTGTCGGCAGTCAGGCGAACAAGGGTTGCAGGATGCGGGAGGGGGATGCTGAAAGGGCAACAGCAAAGGCGCCGATAGTGCTGGAAGAGCTGGCAATGGCACCAGCCAATCAGAGCCACAGACCCTTCCCATAACTAGAGCGGGTAACAGCGGAGCGCGAGGACCCACAGGTCGAAAGGCAGACCATCGCGTTTCGGTTTCTTCAGAACTAGACACCGAAGTTTCGTATGTACTTGTGCTGGGCATTGGTGGTACTTTATCCGGTTGGCCCTGTGAATTTGACATTGATTGAAACCTTAGCCTTTTGGTAATGTTATAAATAAATATACTAGGGCCGTAAACAACTGCTCAAAGGTCACAATTAAGTGTAAGTATTTTCGTACAGTTACATGCTTAAATCTATAGGTACCTACTATTACGGCTTGGGTATCAAGATACAATTTAGAAAACAGTGAATAATATTGTATGTTATTAGAAAACGACCTGTCCGCTACAAACTAAAATTAGACAAGGTACGAAGGAAATCAAATGACATGTATGCAAAACGCTGTCGAAGGTATTGACACCATCCACGTGCAGAAGCACTGTAACAGCGTAAATACTTACGTACATTGTCTGGACATATGCAAATAAGGGAATATACAACATTCTCACTATAAGGGAACCACCACGCTTATTAACGCGGAATCGCAATAAGCCAAGAAAAACCTTTATATCTGTGCAATAAGCTTTGGCTGGAAATGCAATCACGAATCGAATGGGTATAAAGCTTTTTCTGACCGGCTCAAGCTGCGTCAATAAATGTAGTGACACCCTAATTGTTGATCACAGACGGTTTGCTATTGTATCACGCGTGTTGTACTATGTTCAACTCAAGAAAATTAGTATGTAACTTACGTGTGTGGCATTGAAATGCTCGACAGCTCGCAGCAGGTCGTGGTTGCAGCGTCGCAATACCAATTCGAGTACAGAACGCTTCTTGCCGGGGAATAACTTCTTCAACATTTCTAATCCAGCCGTGCTCACAGCTCCATCACTTTCGTCGGCCGTCCTACAAATTATAACTAATTAATGAGAATTGTAATAAGCACAGACATATCTTGCGGAGTCATAGATGAAATTAATCTAGGGTTATGGAAGAGTCTTCAAATTGATCTTGGGATTATATATAAGAAACACGTCATAAAAATTATTCGAATTGTTGTTTAAACTCTTTTTTCGGGTGTAAATCGCGCGTATTTGTTTTTTGAGTCAGCCGTGACCACAGATCTGTACTCGAAACATTTGTTTGAATACAAATTACACGATTTAAATACTAGAAATAATGTTCATTTCCCATGTGCAACAATCGTGAATTGCGGCCAATTGCGCTGGGTGTAAGTACTACCTAATACCTACAGTAAGTAGTAATGAAATTGTCTTAAAATAAAATAACAATTACCGTGGCCGTGAAACGGTGTTGCCGGCAGAGTCTGGAGAAGCACAACAGTCGGGGAGAGAATCGCTGGTCTCGCTGTCTATGTGAATTGGCTGTTGAAAAAGATTTTTTTTCTATTTTTCCAAACTGCATACACTGGATTAATTAATTATATCCTAATTATAACTAATTCATCCGTTTGAAATGTTCTACGATATAAAAATATTCAGTTGTATTGCAAGAATAAAGAAGTCACCACACTTGTTAACTGATTGACTTGAGCCGGTCAGAAAAAGCTTTAAGTTCATGCATTAAGAGCGACTAGACAGCTTAGTTCGGCCAATCGACAAAAACACACAACGTATTTTTCGCCCTTATTATTATATGGATATAATGCTTTTTCTGATCCGCTTAATGCGATAAGTGTCGCTAAGTTTGGTGACTCCTTAAGTATATATCAGGGTTGTTGTGAATATCAGCATCCGTATTCATCAATGCAGATATTTATTGCGGATGTTCGAGTCGTGTCATGACCTAAAAGGCCAGCTGGAACCTCCCAAACCGACTGTAAGCTGAAAGCAACTCAGCTGTTGTTTTTCAAATATAACTTTGATAAAATTCCATAACGATTAAGCTAGGCAGATTGATTGTTTTCATGAAGATTGAGTTTTTTGTTATAAATGTCACAAAATCATTCAAATAATATTTTATTACAATACCAAAGAAAATAAAAACCTCTTTCATGTAGATAGATTCAGTAAGGATGTACATTTTTCGCATTTTTATTTTTAAATATATAAAGTCAACATTTGCTGATATTGTGGTCAAAAAAATCAGCATTCGCATCAGCAACAACCCTGGTATACATCTGCTCCCTCCCAACCGATTTCGACCATGGCGACCTCTTCAGCACCGATGTTAGCGGTGTTCGTAAGCTCGCATGTGGCTCATGTAGCCAATCTTCTGGTCGATGTGAAGACCCTCGCGCACTGCGGTCTCATTTAAGCACACCATTTTCAAAATTGGAACTGATTTCTGCAGACGGTCGGGCTTACATTTCGTTGCGCTTAAAATGAAATTCCGAGCGCCGTTCATCCACAGTCACAGACTTTGGTGTTGGCCAGCACCCTCCACTCCATCCGGTTGGCTGCCTGCTGCTCCTGTTGTGATGGCTCTACACCACCTATTCCTTGAGTATGACAGTACCCTAAATATTGTGTTATATGTTAAAACGTGGGGTACCTATGAATACTCACAGTCGGATCATCATGAGCGGAATCCGGCTCGGGTCCGGGACTAGGGCAAGGCTGGGTTACTCTCATACCGTAGATACGGCCTGGTGGCAATGCTTCTAAGGCAGTGCCGCTCTCCACAGACGCTAGGTGTAATGCTATTTTATCCTCAGCCGCTTGCTGGCGTTTTAAAGCTACCTACAATGAGATTAAAGACTTGAGGTCACGTAGGTCCCCGTCCTTCGAGGACACCTGTGATGCTCTAAGATACCTGAACCCTAGCCAACCATTTATTTCTGAGAGCCTTCGTACGCATTCACCAGAAAGATGTAAAGGAGCTCCAGATATTTGGTTGAAATTTGTATTTATGTAGCAGTAAAGCTCCTTGTGAAAGAGTTCATCCAGGGAAATACTGCCACCTAACCTATTTCTGCCACCAAGCAGTAATGTCAGCATGACTGTGTTCCGGTTTTGAAGGGTAAGGTGCTGGTGAAATTACAGGCACATGAGACTTGTCAACTATGTCTCAGGGTGATGGGCGCACTACCCCTCAGATCTTTGCGATTTAAAGCTCTCCAGCGCACTGCAACTGTTATGTACAGGCGCGTAGCTTACCATCAGGCCCACAACTTGTTCGTGCCGTCACTTGTATTATAAAAAAAAAGTAATATAATTAAAGACCAAATTGGCTTAAAAAGTTTCTTAAACTGTCACTCACGAATGATGCAACAAGGGGAAGTACCAAAATGAAATTTACGGCTCCCAGGTTAAAAGTTAAGTTTGTTATCATCTTTCTTCACACTGATCTACTCAGAACCAAATATCAGTAGTCACAACGTATAGTAGTACTGAAGTTCGCAATGCAAATATCGTGTTATTTTTATCTGTTAAAGATAGGGAGTGTGGCTAGAATGGTAATGCTGATAAATTAATTTAGTGGAAAATCAAGGACAAACATCAATGTTTGTATTTGCGGTAACTCGCCCCCAAGAGAGAGCCGCCGCCGGCCGGCCGGGCCCTAAACACCGCCGCCCGCCTCATTGGAAACACAAACAAAACACGATCCGAACACCAAGACAAATCAAATCATCTGGACCGCTCACGAATACGATATCATGTTTCATAGACATTGATTTTAGGTCCAATAAATCAATTTAGCACAAAATATTTATCCGATATTTTATTTCAATATAGTATTGTGATGTTTTAGGTAAGATTAGGTAACATGTAAAGACTATTTTACTTCATAGATAATTGCGTAAAGGTTTTTTTATAATATCAAGTGACAGAACAACATTGGCGGAACACGCCCGTCCGTTACAGTTGCAGGGCCAATTAAAGCTTTAAATCGCTAACCTCCGAAGGGCACAGCCATTTCGCCTGTCACCCTGAGTTGTTGACAAGTCCCATGCCCGTAATTTCACTAATACCCTTACCCTTCAAAATCGAAACGCAGTAATGTAGGTACACATTACTGCTTGGACGAAAATAGTTGAGGTGGCAGCAATAGAGCTCCTTGTGAAAGAGTTCGTCCAGGGAAATACCCTTACCTATTTCTGCCACCAAGCGGTAATGTAAGCATTACTGTGTTACAATTCTGAAAGGTAAGGGTACTGGTGAAATTACAGGCATATGGGACTTGTCAACTTATATCTCAGGGTGTTGGGCGCAGTGGCAATACTCCACAGATCTTTGTGATTTACAGCACTGAGTGGCACTGCACCTGTTATGGACAGACGTGTCGCTTACCTACCAACCGGCGCACGACTTGTTCGGCCCATTACTTATAATTAAAAAACTTCCCTGGACGAACTCTTTCACAAAGAGCTCTACTGCTTCTAGGTTATCACATAAAGAATAAAATTTATACATAATCAGCTCCACACATTGCTACGAAACGGCAAATTTATGCCATAATAAAAAGAAACTGATCAACACATTATTCCGTAGTAAATTCGAGATGCAAGTGGGACATCGACAGCGATGCATTACAGTGTAAACCGATCGATGCTCATCCGGCGTCGCGTAAACAACACTTGTTTAAATAAACCGCTGCGCATTAGTCGATCTCGATTTCACTACATTAGAACACATTAACGCCCCGAAAACGGTGCGTTTATTTCTGAATTTGGGAATTTCAAGCATGCATATGAAAGAAAACTTTTTGTTTTCAAGCCTATGAGGTATCTAACTTTATCTGCGTTGCGTTTGTAAAGTAGGTACTTTACAAAATTACTTAGTAGGTACTAAGTAAGGGGTTGTAAGCTAAGTGTTTTTGATAATTGATACTTATTGTTAATGATGACTTCAAGATCAACCTAAGTCCAAGAAATCCCTTAGTCCATCTTTATATATATATAGTTGATACTGAAGGGTTTAAAGGTCTTAAAATATTCATTTTGCTAGATTTTTATGACATCAATACTCAAATGGCAGCATACTCTGAAGATGAAATAAACGAACAGGAACAAGACTTACTCTAGTTCTTCTGTTTCATACTACTTAGTACGTACCTTATTTCGTTCTTTAGTTTATGCTAGCTAAAGTAAGGATTTATTTTTGTTAAAATTAAGATTAATGTGAAGATAAGATTAAAGGCTTTCTTTTGTATCTATGAATTTATTGTTTTACTCATGAAATTTCTAACTAATAATCATGGCTAATCACTTTGTAGCATTTATCTCTACTCACCATTACTCTTTCAAACATGTCGTATTATCCTGTCAAAGACAAAAAAACAAAAAGATTGTACAATATCCAGAAACTAAAAAACGGACTAAAAGATTTCTTGAAATGGGCCATTCACATATAGGTGTATAGGTATACATATGAAAAAAATTATCAACTAATTTTCTTCGTAGAACCTTTAAAGCTTTCTCCTGAAAAAAAGAAAATCAAGAACCGCCTAATCGGAGTTATTTGGACCTGCTCACGAAATGTATTGAAAATGAGTAATAGATTATTGAGACACAATTTCGCTCAAAAATATTTTGGATCTTTTCGCCATTTATCTCTAAAACCAAATTCTAATTGTCAAAACAACATCCAATATCATACATTTTGTTTGTTAAATTATCAATAAAACGTCCAGATTTTTACAATCCGCGTTACTGTACAATAAATAATTCACGTATTTTTCATTTGCGCAAATTTTGATACTCGTAGGTACCTCTATAGATACGAGGCCGAGTAGATACGAGTCTCTATAGACTTGTAGGTGCTTGTAGGTAATTCGTTATGGTTTTCCTTCGACAAATTTATTATAGTGTCAGGAGCAAACTCAAACTCCAATATTTTTTTATTTATAAGTAAGCAAATTACACTTCAAATCGTCACATTGATTAAACTGTATGACACATTCATGAAGCAGATTCCTCTGAACAGAATGAAGAAGAAAATAGAGGTTGCTCTTTGTAAATAAACATTTTTATACACTTATCATTTACAATATTTATTTTAAATATTATAGATCAAGACAACCTGCAAGAGCTAAATGGGTCACTACCCTGGATTATAGTCATTCGAGTACGCACCTTCACTATAGTTTTAAACCTTGTAAATGGAAACTGTTTAATACTTATCAACCGGAATCTTATTATAAGTAGAAGCATATACCTACATACATTACCCCTTAAAAGAATTTGTGACCGTAAAAAAGACTGTCAAAAACAGCCAGTTTATTTTTATTCCCCGCATTAATGTTAGGTTTACCACTTATTTTAAAAAATAAATACATACTATTCTTCTTAACATAAACTACATTTTCATAAACTTATTGTGACACTAGTATAATTTTGTCAATTTCTTTAAACTTCTCTCTCAAAGACACTCTGGAGCCAATATTGTAAAATTACCATAATCGCACAATTTTGCAGGACAAAATATTCCATTAATATCGGCGCCAATCCGTCATTAAACTGTGAAAATAGCTAAAGTAAATCAACTAGCTATTTGTACGTCGTATTTTTATTAATCGTTAATTATAAGCGAACCCATTGCAATTTAACACCTAAAAATACAACTGTATAGGTATATACAATAACCAATTTTTTGTTTCTACCTATGTAAAATTCACACTTTTTTTGTTATTGAGATTTTTTTATATAATATCAAGTGACGGGACGGACAAGTTGTGCGCCTGCTGATAAACTACACGCCTGTCCATAACAGTTGCAGTGCCACCCTGCTCTTTGAATCGTAAAGATCTGAGGCGCACTGCCATGCCAAAACCGGCACACAGTAATGCTGACACTACTGCTTGGCGGCAGAAACAGATAAGGTGGCAGTACTTCCCTGGACGAACTCTTTCACAAGAAGCTCTGCTGCTACTAAAAGTTTATTAACTGAAAGTAGAGTAGCGGGTTATTAACTGCAAATGAATCTACTGTCTAGCACAAGTCCGATCGTGTAAGGATTAGATATTGTTGACATCTATGGGATGGGTCTTTTAAATACCAACCATGGATTCAGTTGAAAAGTAGGTATGCCAAGAAATTTATAGGTGACTCGGATTTAGTACAGGCGAAGCAGAGCCTGGAGTACTGCCGCAAAGTTGTCTGCTTATCGGTATTCTACAGAATATATCACTGAGAGTGTGCGATAGAATTGCACGATTTTCTCCTTCCTGTTTCCATTACCGGTGGACTAGATGTAGGCTGGGGTTCCACTCATATATTGTGGATATGTCGAAGATTCGCACGAAGCGTTCGGCTTTCACGTTTACATGACGAACGGCTATGGCGTGGAATTTCTTGCCTGCAAACTTATTCCCTGAACGGCACTTGGGCCTTTTCAAGGCGATAGTGAATATAGGCATTATTTAGGTCTGCGTGCTTCATCGTCGACCTCATTGCCACTTTACATCAGGTGAGATTGAACTCATGCACAATTAATGACTTAAATTGTACAGAAGTGCTGTAATAATCGATTACCTACATATTTTGATGTTAATTCGACAAGTCCAAGTAAATCCGTTCAAACTAAACAATTGTGACTTAAACAAGACGGTTTATTATACTGACGTATCTCGTAACACGTAAGAAGCATCTACAGCTTTGACTTGAGGTACAATTATATAAATCTATGATTATTAGGTATTATGATCTACGATAATAAATTGTTTCTTCATTATAATGGTGATATTATGTTGACAATAACGGGGATCGGAGCAGATAAAGGGCCTGCCGTGTTCCAACGATACCTATTAAATAGTAAGTTACCTTGCAGTACCTAGAGCTTCTTGTTAAAGAGTTCATCCAGGGAAGTACCGTCACCATATCTATATCTGCCGTCAAGCAGTAATGTCAGCATTACTGTATTCCGGTTTTGAAGAGTACCTACCTAAGGGTGCTGGTGAAATTACAGGCACATGGTCAAGTTGTGTCTCAGGGTGACGGGCGCAGTGGTAGTGCGCCTCAGATCTTTGCGATTTAAAGAGCAGAGTGGCATTGCAACTGTTATGGACAGGCGTGTAGCTGACCATCAGGCGCACGTCTTGTTCGTCCCGTCACTTGATATTATAAAAAAGAGACTAGAGAGGAGGATTGCTTCCTACCTGAGCCGCCATGATCCGCTGGCGTTCCTTGATGAGACCGCACTTAGGGCACTGGCAGTGGCGGTAGGCACAGGCCTTTTTATGCCCTCTCAGACTTGAGATCAGACCGTGGTTTCTGCAACGTGCACACTTCGGGACACGCGCGCGACCGCTGTTCATCATCCTCGGCTAAAGTTAAAATGTTACACATTTAAGTATTCGTTATTATTGTATACTTTTCCTAATTTCAATAAAAACTTTACTTTGTAAATATTCAGTTGAACAATTTTTAAAATTGGCTGTGTGGGTATTTACAAGTTTTACGTACCTAAGTCTTATTTATTATCATGTGCGATCAACAATACGTAAATATTACTTATAGTGAAATGAAATTATTTTTTCACATCTAAATTGTGTATTAAAATATATATTTGTTTTATTCAATGTTGAATCAGCTGCGACCATGGCATTGTTTAAAAAAATGCGCGATTTAGATCTGAAAAAATAGTTTTATTTCCTATAAGCAACTATCGCGAAAACCTAAGAACACAATCAGTCTAAAATGTAAATAATCAAAATAATGTCTATTAATTCAGTAATTTTAAAAGTAAGTAATTAATTACCTATGTCGTTTTTCTTTGTAATTAGTTGAAGGGACAATAGACACTAAAATTGATATGCGTCAAGAAATTCAATACTTACTTAGAAATAAACAAACAATCCACACCTATAAATATTAACACTGATCTCAAAAATCACATTGATAACTAAAATTGTTGCAGTTCTAATTAGTAGTTCACTGTGAAAGATCCGTGCAGTATCACCGCCCACACAACACTCCGCCCTGAAATATCCAGACACCAGGAAAAGATAAAAGTAGGCGTAACAAACTTCTTGTATCCCAAATGCAATAGGGGAATATCGACTCTAAACACTCACAACCTAATGATTACAATCCAAACTCAAGAACACACTGGGTGAATCCAGAATCCGCCCAACACAGGGAGCAACCAATAGGGATGCGAATATTGTACGATTGGTTACACGTATTCGGTAAAACAGAGGAATCTTCCTGGAAAGCTGGGATCTTATGTTTCATTGAAAATATACAATATGTTTACACAGAAACAGTAGCTCGTTCGTGAGTTAATCTTCTTCAGTGTGTATTGTTATACTTAAGTAGCGGGGTGTATTAATACGACACTTTCTAAATTAATTTTGGTACGTTTGCGTGTATTTATAGAAGCTGTATTTATTTACTCTACGTCTCTACTTTGTCAATTATATGAAAGTAGTCAGGTAAGTAACTAACTATATATAACATAATCTTTTTTGTTATAATTATTAATACAAAGATCGAACGCTCAAACAAAAATCCCTTCGATCCAGCCGGGTTCGAACCGACGTCTTCTAGTATACCGTGGCAGACGCTACACCAACTAAGCCACGGAGTGAACCAGCGGACCTCACGAATTTTTCTATATGTTTGTTGTCGTCTTTGTATTTGGTCTTTTCAACGACTTTTAGCCGTAGCGCCATCTATGATAAATCTTAAGTATTTCGTCAATCGCAAGTATCTTTGTATTAATAATTATAACAAACTAGTGGAGTAATTTCACTTAAAAAATAATTGAATATCAATAATTTTTAATCATCAAATGCTTTTAGGTGTTTTCTTAATTTTTTCTAATCATTAAACATTTCGTAACTATTATAATACATTATGCTTTATTTTAACTAAAATTATAAATCGAGTTCTTAGGTTTTCGCGATTGTTACACATAGGAAATATATATGGAAATATATATATATCCCATCAGCAGTCAACCGTGACCATGGGACCTGTAAAGAGCCCGAAACGTCGGTTTGTTTGAAAAAACAAATATACGGGATTTAAATCCGGAAAAATAGTTTCATTTCCTAAAATTATAAAACAATAATAAATTTACAGGCGTCTCGCTCTGAGGGAATTAAATAATGGTCACGTTAGCTACGTGCCAAGTTTTATTGAAATCGGTTAACCGAAAGTAAATGAAATTCAGTGAATCGGTGTTATCTCCTATACTGCCACACTTACAGGTGGAATATTTTCTTCGTATTTGAATGGGGCCACTATGTGGTATCCGCTTCCATTAACAAAAAACAATCATCGCAATGGTTCACAAATGTCGGAGTACTAATCGCGTAACATTTCTATACACAAAAAAAAATACAGACGAATTGAGAACCTCCTCGTTTTATGAAGTCAGCTAAAAACAGAGTCTATCCTATTACGTGTGTGCTTAAAGACACCATTTCCACAGTGTGGTACAATTTCGTTCTTTTCTTTGCAGATTTTCAGTATTCATACTTTGGACAAAGAGGACACTAGACCATAGTGGACCTTTGTATGTGTGCGTAACTAAGTTATGAGCAGAAAATATATTCTTTTTATCTAATTGAAAGATTGTATCTGAAAAAGTTATATAAATTTTAAATGTACCATGAATTCCTTCAATCGCTTAAAAAGTAAAAGTATATAACTTTTGGTTGCCAATTTTGCGAAAATCGGAAAAAAACATTATTTCGCCTTACATACGCCATCTAGTGGCTATTAGATTACATAAAACCGTGACGTTTGATCCTATAAATTGATTTGTTTTTATTGCTCTCAAAATATATCTACACACTCATAGAACAATAAAAAATTGAGAATACCTACAAAACAGTAACGTTTATATTTATATAACTAAGAATTAGACATAAAGCAGCAATTATATTAACTTGATTAACATGGATTTAGTAACAACCTTACACAACCTTCAATAAAAAAAGAATTTATATACCAACACCATGGAATACCTATATATAAACAAAATGCATTTTTTTAGATTTTGTGACAGAGCAGAAATAGCTGAAATTTTAAAATTTTAACAATTTAACTTTTATTAAATCAAACTTTAATAAACAAAAAATCATTTTCTGTTAATGTTTACAATATTTAAAGCAACGCAAAATTAAAACAAATTAATAAAAACATCTAATCGACCAATTTATATTTTCAAATTAGACCTAAAATAAAAAGTTAAATAACCAACCAGACTTTTGAAAAAACAAAAAAACACTGCATAATTTTAGTGATTTCACTAGTAGGTATTTATTCCGCTAAACATGCCGCCGCCTCGACCGGTGTTTTTATTCACTCCGGACTTCTTTAATCTATACTTAGGTATCATGAAAAGAAGAACGTTATAACGAAGCGTTACGTTCAGTGGCTGCCGAGAACTTTTTAATTAGCATATAATTAAAATTAACGCCAACTGGTTTTAAATTCAGGCCTCTGTTGGGTTAAAAAATCAAAGGTCAATAGTCGCAGCAAGAAGATCGTAGAAAAGATAAATAAATTGTTTTTTCTTCTAAATCGGCGATGTAACTATTGTTTCAGTATTCTCCAATACATACTAATTATAACTTTTAAAAAACCGACCTTAAAAGTTTATGGAATTGCATATATTTGAAATCGATTAACGAAAAGCGGGTGAAGTCCAATGAACCGGAGTCATCCCCTATTTCACCACTCTTATGAGGAGAGTTTTTTGCAAATTTGAATGAGACCACTGAGGGCCCCATTACCAACAAAAAAATCATCGAAATCAGTTCACAAAATATGTCGGATTAGTTACGTAAAATATACAAAAAAATACTGTCAAATTGACGTACCTACTCAACTTAACAGTATTTTTTTGTATATTTTACCTCCTCCTATTTTTGAAGTCAGTTAAAAAATGAACCTGCACGATTCATAATAAATCACAGTCTTCTTAAATATTTACTAATGATTCGATTTATTTTTCGTTTATATCCGGTTGAATAAACGTTTTTCATTAAATAATTTATAGTATTGTATTCAGGAGTACGCTGAACTGTCGAGCGGGCACGAAAGCATTGATGCATGTTAAAGATATGCGTCCGAATCGTATCAAGTGGAAGACTGTGCTTTACCTGCCCTATGGGAGGACGTAAAATATAGGTACTGTATGTACTGTACGAGTATGTAATAGATATTAAGAATTAAATATTTATTTTTTAAATATTATGCCGACGAACTCTGTAGAAGTATCTGTACCTTGTACGTATCTTGATTACGATAAACTTTATGTGACGACATGGACGTTTGTTAGTAGGCAATGACCTTAAATACGTTTGCTAGGTCAGCCCAGTGTTTGACCGTATCATATGCAAATAAAATTTCACTAAGTAAATTTTTTTTTTTTTTCAAAAAATGTCTGTCAACAAATGTCCGTTAAAAGACAAAAAATAGATGGATTTGCAAAGTGGAGAAGGTCTACAATTTACTAGGTAATCCACGTTACGGTCTATCGGAGTGGTCTACCAGCGTAGGTCAATCGGAATGTTTGTTGGAATACACCTGTGCAGTTTAGTATACCTGCGCAGGTGAACCGGAACATGTGTTGGAAGACACCGGTGTAGTTTAGTACACCTGCACAGATAGAACTCTCCGGGACCCGTAACGTGTATAGCCGCCGTTACAAATAAATAAAATGTCGGTATCAACTACAAAATTGTGTTTTACATATTTAATCTAGATATTCTTACAACAACGTAGCAGACAGCGAACTCTACTTGTATATAGGTACAACTAGTGAGACGCCGTACTTACAAAGTAAATGTGCTATTTTTAATACTTGTATTCTGAAAACACTTTCTCAACTTCATTCACAAATTCAAAACAAAAATGCGTCTTATACGAAAATGACACGCATCAGTTCAATTGTAACATGTAGCTATGCTGATAAGGATAGAAGTGTTTACAGTGGCTAACACATATTTTGTGTCACTGTAAAAAGTAACAATTTGAAAGACTTAACCTGTGACTGTCTCTACCTACAACAGTACCGCAACTACATTTCGACAGGGAAAATAACAGAAAAGAAATTTCCACATACAATTTATTATTATCACAAGACAAGACCTTAAAATTATTTAGACTTCTTTTTCTCATGTTGTTTAGCAGCTTTTTTCTTCATAATCTGCAGTCTTTTGTCGGCAGATATGATATTAATGTTCGGAGTGACGACTTTCGATGGAGATGATGATGCAGAACTGCTGGAAGATATCTTTACAGGTGTTGTAGACCCAGAGACTCCAGATGGGGATTTTGAAGCAGATGACCCTTTACTGGAGTAACCTGACGCGAATCCTTGGGAAGAAAGGCAGGAGGCACATTGCCAAATGGTCCCCATGTCGCTATCACTTATCACTGGTTTGTGGCAATCCTAAAAAATAAGTACAGCTATAATAATAAAATAAATAAGACAACATCATATACATTGCTCTGATCCCAAAGCACTTATATTATGGCAATAGGAAACAATGACAGTACCAGAAATACTTGGACTCAAGACAATATACAAAAAATTTTATATATTTACCCAGGCAGGGATTAAACCCGGGACCTCAAAGATTAAAGTTAGAGATTATACACTATGGCGTCCTTAGAAAACACTCATGCTCAACAGCAGATTTAAATGAATGGTTAATGATAGATTCTCCATTTTATTCTCACTAAAATTAACCCATAATAAAATATTTACTAATCAAACAAGAGCAAATAAATTCCTCTGCATCAACTTACATGGCACAACCAATGAAAGGAATTACTGGGCATAAAATGAAATGTGAAACTGCCATAAAAAATATAATTCCACAAGTCGCGGAAGAACCCTAATTCGAAATATTTAATCAGTGATAAATTGAAGTCAAAAATGATGCTAAATCTATGGGATAAATCAACAACAGCAATTAACACTATGTTAACTTAAAAATTGCAACTTTTCACCAGAGCCCATAAAAGAATATAATATAGGGATATATATTAAAGATTTTCTTGCTACAAGTTGAATTCATCAAGGTTATAAAATAGATGACTATTAATTTTTGGGATTATTTACTTAATTATGAATTAAATTTAAATTAGCTGAATAATTTGCCATTAAAAATGCAAAATCGACAAAATTCTAGTTACCGTATTGATAATTATTGGTGTCAAAATATTAAATTATAAAATTTTGTATGTGCAAATGTGCTGAACTGTGAAAAAAAACAGTATTAAGAAAATAATAAAAAAGACTGTTGCGTATAAACCTTACCTGATGATAAAGTGCATGGCAAGCATCACACTCAACCAAACGGTTCCCAGCCTGCACGGCAATCTGCCTGCATACAGCACATGTCAAGTCCTCTTCCAAGAGATCAAACGCCAGCTCCCCATCCATCACAGATCCATCATCATTCTCCTGTTCTGGTATTTGAATCTGCTGCGGACTCTGCTGTGGTATTGGCACTGTTTTACTAGTTGTTGCTTTCTCAGTTTTATTGATTGACCTGCAGAAAAAATTAGATTCGTGCATTGACTTACAATTATATTCATGTTACTGTTTTACATGTTCATTATACTGTGTATCTTTAATGTAAAGTTTTTTTAAGTATGATGTTGAATGGGTGTAATACTTGTTTTCAGTATGAACCCAATAACCCACAGGTGGACCTTAATATCAGTGTGAAAGGTAAATGATTCTAATCATAGGTTCGATGTGCCGTGCTTATCAAGATTACCTCACAGGAATACTATCGTACCTACTCTCCATCTTTTCCTCAGCAAGGTACTTCTTTTTCAACACTTGGCCAAGAGTCTTGGAATTGCCATAAGTCTGCCGGATGAGGTCGTCGAGCGTCAACCGAAGTTGCTCCGTGGAGTCCGGCGCGCTAGAGTGCAGATACTTCAGGCACAGTTTTATTGATGGATCAAAGTCTATTGACGACATTTTCTTAATTATTTATATTATATGCGCTGTTTCTGTCTATATTTTAGCCAAGTTTTAAAGTTAAAGATCACCCATACACAATTCCTTCCTTAATAACACCTGCTTGTCTATCACAATTCACATATTTCTTCTTCTTCTTTTAAAGGTTATGGCCCCATCGAAATAATCGATGATTTCGCCAATGTCAAGTTGAGAAACACGTTTTTACTCCAAAATTGCAGTCAAAGCAAATAAAAATCAAACGCATACATTGCAGGCCATGGAAACAAAGTCGTTCAGCCGGAATACGCATACAAGTGATGCAGTGTTGCCGTTGTACATAATTGAAGTGGGTAAAAGTAATTTCCTAAAATCCGGTAGATGTCTCTAGACTTGGCGGTACTTCCATGCTTATTTGAAAATCGAATTTGATTCACAAACAGTAAATAAAATTGCAAATAATCACGACAATGTGAAATAAAAATCATTTATTTTAATTTACTTTTGAACACAACAAACAAAAATAATTATATTCATCTCATCATTCTCTGAGTGAAAAAATTTCAATCAATAGGTCTTCCCCATTCATAATCGTAACGAGCGAGAAACACATCAAACCTGCATCAAACATAGATACACATCAAACGAAAGAATGGATGTTGTTTTGTTTATTACAGAAAATTACCGTTCAGTCCGATTAATGTTACCAGCATTAGACTAGAAAATTGGCCGTATAGTACTAATTTACCGTATTTGTTCAGTTTGAAAATCTTAATATTTTTTTAAATCATATCAATCAATTTAGTTCCAATATTATGAATTGCTTATAAGAAAATCTGCTCCAAAGCATAAAATAAAAAAGCAGAAAATAATAAAAAAATAAATAAACTTACTTTTATTAACCTTTACCCGGCAATGTGACATAATAGGTTAATAAAAAAAACTTTTATTGAATTATTAATGCGGGTTTTGCTTTTGCAAGACGTCCACGCTTCCTTTTCTGTCCGATTAGAAC